CAACATGGTTTCAATCTCAGATAAATTCCTGTACCCGATGAAAATTAATTATTCTATCGATTTTTTACAGTAATTCTAGTATTCTTAAATAAAAAAAAAAACAAGGAATTTAAATTTATAGGAATGTTAAATTATTATTAAATATATTATTGTAACACCGCGAAACACATTTAAAAATTTAGAATAAAATTCTACTTAAAAATATAAATTTACCAAGAAAACAAAGCCAACAATTTCAATTATAACTCATTTTAAAAGTTAAAAATTGTATCTGATTTTTTATTACGATAAAGCACATTCGTATTCTAAAAGCACAAAGTAGTCCTTTCTTATATATGGATGAACTTATGGACTATCTAGAGGTCAGTTGCTTTAAGTGATAATATACTCGTTTCTAGTAGAGTCCGGTACTCTACTGGTTGACGTCATGATGTGTGGGTAATGTCCTTGTCAAAAGGAAGTTGCATTACACTTACAATTAGTACCTAGTAAAATTGTACGATCAATAATAAAGTATTTCTATGGAAGGAAGTAATATGTATTTAACTTACACTGAAATAATACTTAAATAATTTACCATAGTTTACCATAATTATAAATTAATGATAGGGTGTCTCGAATTTTAATCGCGAAAATTAAGGAACCGATAGAAATATAATGGCACTTTGAATCATTTCAAATTGTTAATTACAAGCTATACGCGGTCTGTTCAGGAAATTACTGAACTTTTTGATTAGGTACTAATGGAAATATTTAGCGATACCCGATTGGCAGCATAACCTCCTCTGTAACCACATGTTCTTGGATTGTTGATATCTCATTTAGTTTTCGACTTTGACTCCATTCTGAATATATGAAACCAATTTAGAGTTGACTTTTTCTCTAATATGTTGTTTCAATACTTTATTTGTTCAAAAGGTACTCAGAAAGATATTCCTTGAGATCTTTTCTTGAAAGCTTTGACGAATATAACTTTATACAGGGTGGCCAATTGAAAACGAAACAGAGCCATTTTCAGGAACTGCGTCAAGATTGTAGAAAAACGCTCAGATCCGTCAATTTTAGATTAAAGGGGGACATTCTTTGCTGGTATTTTTTACTCCGCCACTTTCACCCCCAAGCAAGGGTAAACATCACCCCAAAATATTTAAATGGCATTGGGGGTTGAGTAATATTTCCTTTGAAAGCTCTTACAATTCTCTTTACAACAGACTTTAAATTTTATAATTCCGCCCAATACTTTTTAAGAATTTTGATTTTAAAGTTGAAACTTATGTACAAACAATTAGTAACGGTAAAAATGTCAGTCATTCGAGTTAAGTACGCCAATGGTATAAATTTAGTATTTCTTGCGTTACATTGGTTTTTGGCGATTTGTTATCACTTTCGTAAAAAAAAACAATTGTAAAAAACAGAAATGAATGCTATACACACACAATGAACGTAAAATTAGTGGATTCCAAATTATTTTCTAGTATTATTTGGAAGCGTTGGTTGGTAGTTTATTTAATTGTGTTTTTGAAAATTAAACACTATGGTTTATTCCATTGCGGAAAGGGTAGATATCATTTCGCTTTACTTTATGAACAATAAATGTGCGAATAGAACAGCTCAGCTATTTAATGAACAACATCAAGATCGACATGTCAGGAGGAAGTATGTTCTAGAGTTAGTAAAAAAATTTCAAGAGACAGGGAACGTAGCCAATAAAAAACGAGAAATTGAAAAACCTATAGTTAATGAAGCTAGTGAAGTTGCAGTTTTGGGACAAGTTCATCTTGATCCTACATTAAGTACGAGGCAGCTGGCATCTGTGTCTGGGATCAATCGAACTAGCATACAAACCATTTTGAAGAAGAATAAATTCCATCCATACAAAATACATTTAGTCCAGGAACTTCATGAGGATGATTATGACCGCCGTTTGCAATTTTGCGAAATAATGAGTGAGCGAGCAGGGAACGATCCACAGTTCCTTTTTAACATCTGTTTTTCTGATGAATGCAGTTTTTTCTTGAACGGGACGGTAAATCGTCACAATTGCCGCTATTGGTCCGATTCAAACCCAAGAGTTTTCACGAGGTGCATACACAGCAATCCGAAAAATTAAATGTATGGGCTGGAATTTTCGGTAACCGGCTGGTGAGTCCTTTTTTTCTACCTGGTAATTTGACTGGCCGAATGTATTTACAATTACTGGAAAACGCTACTGACACTGACCCTGCCTTGACTGATATTATTGAAAATGTTCCAGAGTATGATGATGATCATTTGATTTTTCAACAGGACGCATTATGCGTTAATTGTCGTTTTCTACGGAATTGGATTGGGAGAAGAGGCAGCATTGAGTGGCCTTCACGATCACCGGATTTATCGCCCCTTGATTTCTTTTTGTGGGGATACCTATAAAGTAAAATCTATAAAACACAGCCAGCGTCGCTGGAAGATTTGCGTCAATTAATTATCGACGAATGCCCTCGAATCACTCCGGAAATGCTTCGGAATGTGCGTGAACGTTTCGAACAAAATCTTTATTCTTGTATGGAAGCGGGCGGTCATCAGTTTAAACATTTAATCAACTAAATAGTAAGTAAGCAACTAAACATAATTTAAATTTTAAAATGTAATTTTTTTTCAATGTATTGGGCAGAATTATAAAATTCAAAGTCTGTTGTAAAGGGAATTGTAAGAGCTTTCAAAAGAAATATTACTCAACCCCCCAATGCCATTTAAATATTTTGGGCTTGGAGGTGAAAGTGGCGGAGTAGAAAATACCAGCAAAGAATGTCCCCCTTTAATCTAAAATCGACGGGTCTGAGGGTTTTTCTACAATCTTGACACAGTTCCTGAAAATGGATCAGTTTCGTTTTCATTTGGCCACCCTGTATAGTAAAGTGACATGATTTTTACTTCCTCTGCTTTCGTGAATAAAATTCGATATACTGTGTATGTTACAGAGGTGTTTGCTATGATTTTTTATTTTAAATAACGCTTACTGAAGTTTCTGTTCAGTTTAAGCAAAAAATAATCATTAATTGAAATGTCTTAAATAAAGAGACAGATTACTAGTATGTACATGAATATGAAAGGATTAAAATATTTTTATTATTATAATTTACCTGTGTCCTGTGTCAAATTTTTTCGTTACTTTAAAGCTATTGAACTAATTATTTGACACAATACATCTAAGTATGCTAAGGAAATAAACCTCAGGTATTCACATAGTACTGAAATCAAAAATTATTATTAAATAATGTTCAAGGAAATTACGAGAGAAACTATCTCATATTCCTGTTTATAACATCAACATCACTGTGAATAAAAACTAACCCAAAATTCAATCTTGATACAATAATTAGTATAGTTCTGCATTTTGGGAGTTGCTTTTTTATTTTTAAAATAGCTAAAATAATATATAAAAAATATGTATGTCCGAAGTCAAAACAGAGTCAAATGTACAATAATATCTAATGAGATCTAATTATAGAGTTAATAATAGCTCTCAGGCGTTATTTGCACACGTATTTACTTAAATAATATCTCAGATATGGATGACCTCGAAAATATTGATACACGTATACATTATTCTGAAAATAATTATATGAATTATAAACCCACTAGACTTGAAAAATTACTTTTCAAGTTGCCATTAAAAAAAATTGTAGTATTTACGTCAGACATTAATTGGTCTTCCAATAAGTAACGGTTTCATTTCTAATATGCAATTTCTGTTTCTTGGAAGAATCTTGTAAAATATAGCATTGCCTACCCACAGACCGTAACAGGTATAAAATATAATAAATTTGTACCTAGTTTAATGTCGATGTAATAATAATTTACACACACTGAATATAGTCCATTTGTGGAGATTAGATATTTTTCCCTTCGCTATTCATCACAAACAAAAGACAATATGACAAGGTGTCAACATAACTCTATTTTTAATGTAACGTTTTGTTAAAATTCGGACAGGAATCTTCAGTTTTTCTGGTATGTTCCATTCGACTTAACCTCTAAGAACTATTGCTAAACAAAGACAATTTCGAAATAGTAACTGTTAATTTAACCAAAACCCTGAATTACAGAGTGCTAAAGGATGAAATATATTAAAAAAAAATAATCGTGAACTTATATAAATGAACTCAAAATACTTAAATTAAAAATAGAAACTAACAATGACAGGTAAGAGTGAACCAAAACTGAATAGGTATTCGGTTTATGAGACTTTCGTATAATGTAGGTAAATAAATTTAATGAAAAAAAAAACGAAAATAAGCCACTCACGTACCTAAGTAATGGTAAATGTTTGTATCACCTTATTTCTTTCCACTAAACTAAAATAAGTACGGCATTTTACGGACGGGGCTATGAAATTAACACTTAATTTGGGGCACTTGCAAATTGCTAATATTTTTATCTCCCAAATGTTTCAACAGAAATTTAGAAGTAAATATGCAAATTAGGGTAATTTAGATAAATACATACGTATTTATATATCATTAACGACAGTTAATACCACTTATTAAGTAATAAAGTTTCTACGAATGAAAGTTGTAAGAAATTAGTTTTTTCCATAATGGACTTGGTTATTCTGATAAAACTAGCCATTTCTGGCTAGCTCATTTTGAAACAAATAGCATTTATTTTGAAGTGGCCGACTGCTCAAGTTTTTGATAAACACATGATCGTCTAAAGACGAGAAAATATAGATATAAGTACAAAAATAAAACGAAATTTATATGTAGACGGTCTGGAAATAATCCTACATAAATTATATTAATGAAAACGACATAAAAATAAGATTTCGATTTCTCGTGAAAACTGTTACCACACCAAAAATTTTGCTTTTATTTTTTCAAGTTTTACGCGGGGGCGTCAAATTTGACGTCACACTTGACGTTTGGCATACCACAAATCTACGGTGGGCGATATTCAGGTGTAAAGTAAGTTTTATATTTCATTAAATAAGTGTTGATCCGTTGGACGGGCGAGATACTAACCATTATCAAAGCACAACACAAACACACAAAGGCAGGTTTTGATCAAACTCGATAAAAATACAAAAACGTACCAAATTCACATAACAAAACTGTTTTTGTTGCATGTATCCTATAAACAACACAACGACACTGATCACGACGATTAAAGTTACACTTAACTGTTATAGAATGCCTTAGTAATTGGGTATTTTATAAACAATAAAGGACAATATTTTTTAGAATTTACATGGCAACCTTTTATATCGTCTGTTATGGAAAACTGAGATTACGAACACAAATAGAACACAAACGTCACGTGAAAGTCGCAAATCGCAGAGCAGACGTCATCTACATGCAGCACTCGAAACGTACGAAAGCGGGTTTTTTCTCCTGAAGTTAGGCAACCGGCGTTACTTTTTGAATGGAACTCACTTTATGTTGTCATGTCGTCACATACATGTCAATACTGTGTAAAAGACACTTTAAACTGTCAATTATATTTAAATTGGTTATTATATATATTATATACAGGGTGAGTCAGAAAGAATGGGTCAACAGTAAACTGGAGATACTAGACACCAAAATATTATGTTTGAACTCATCATGCATTATACGAATGTCGCTGGTTTAAGAAATACAGGGTGTTTAAGATTTAAATTTTATTTTGAAATTTCTCAATAATTGGGAAAGTTTTAATAGCATGACTCTGAAAATTGGTACTATTGGGTTTTTTGGTGTGAGAATTATGAATTTGAAGCTTATTTTGACGTTGCTCCTAGAGGGCGCTAGTTTCGCCGTATTATTTAGGTAAATCAAAACATATTTTTTTTATCTGTTGACCTATGCTTCAGAAAAGTTAAAAATCTAAAAGAACGTTCAATTCTACATAAAAAGTGTACTTTTGTTTAGGTCACCTAACTTTATCGGTTTCTGAGTTATTTGCATTTAAAAGTTTCAATGTATTTTGTGGTGATTTTCTTTCAAGCGTCGATATTGCTATTTCTTTTCTAAGTAGGCTTGTGTCAAATTTTCATGTCAATAAATATTAGCGTATTTTGCATGCGTGTGATTTTATTATTCGTTCAAAATTGTTAGTTAGTGCTCAAAAAATGCCACGACATAATAATTTTTCAAACAGTGAGATGCGTGATATGATTTGTGTTTTTGCCCAGGCTAATTTTAATGGACATGCGGCGGCCCGAAGATATGAACACATGTACCCAAATAGATTGCAACCTAATTATAAACTATTTAGAAATCTTTACAACCGCTTAGGCGAATCTGGATCTTTTCGACCAAAAAGTAACCATGGTACTCCAAAATCGATCACAGTCGATGAAGAAGAGGAAATTTTAATTCGTGTTTCAGAAAATTCCGGTATGAGTACTCGTCGGTTAAGTGCGGCAACGGGGGTAAGCCAATCGTCCATTTGTAGAATTTTGAAAAAAGAAATGCTCCATCCATATCATTATACTCCGGTTCAGAAGTTATTGCCTCAAGATTTACCAGCTCGCCTACAATTTGCTCAGTTTGTACAAAATATGCAAATGGAATAGATTTCCTCAATAGGATTCTATTTACCGATGAGACGACATTTACTAGACGGGGAGTTTTCAATTGGAAGAATTTGTGGGATTCCGAAAATCCGCATGCTGTAAAAGAAAAACATTTTCACCATGAGTTTAAGGTGAATATTTGGTGGGGTTTAATTTCTGGTTTTTTCATAGGACCTTTTGAATTATCACCCAATTAACTGGATCTCATTATTTAAACTTCCTTCAACATAATTTAAATGAGCTTCTAGATGATGTACCACTCGCTTTAAGAGAGAGTATGTGGTTTATGCATGACGGTGCGCCACCACATTTTGCCTTGCCAGTGCGCCAGTATTTAAATGAACATTTTCCTCTTCGGTGGATTGGCCGTGGGAGTGAATTTTGTTGGCCACCGAGAAGTCCAGACTTAAACCCTCTGGACTTCTCAGTATGGTCAAACTTGAAGGATGTGGTGTATCGGGAAGAAATTAATTCTGTTGAGGAGTTGCAGAAAATACAAATAGCCGCGAATGCATTAAAAAATAATAGGGACATTTGGTTTAATATTCAGAGACATTTAAGGGAGTGTATAGTAAAATGTATTGAGGTAGGTGGTGGACACTTCCAGCATTTGATTTAAGGTTTGTTATTATTACTATCATCAATAATTGAGAATAAAAAATCACCACAAAATACATACATTGAAACTTTTAAATGCTAATAACTTAGAAACCGATAAAGTTAGGCGACCTAAACAAGAGTATATTTTTATGTAGAATTGAACGTTCTTTTAGATTTTTAACTTTTCTTAAGCATAGGTCAACAGATAAAAAAAATATGTTTTGATTTACCTAAATAATACGGCGAAACTAGCGCCCTCTAGGAGCAACGTCAAAATAAGCTTCAAATTCATAATTCTCACATCAAAAAACCCAATAGTACCAATTTTCAGAGTCATGCTATTAAAACTCTCCCAATTATTGAGAAATTTCAAAATAAAATTTAAACCTTAAACACCCTGTATTTCTTAAACCAGCGACATTCGTATAAGGCATGATGAGCTCAAACATAATATTTTGGTATCTAGTATCTCCAGCTTATTGTTGACCAATTCTTTCTGACTCACCCTGTATAACTACTACTGACATATATGTACAACTGTTACTTTAATACACTTGTCAACATTAAAAGACAGAACACCCTAGATAAATGATACTGCAGAATACTTTTGTAACTGTTATAGGGTCAGTAATGCACGTAATAGCATAGCCAAACTATAATTTAGTTCCTTCAAGCCGTGGAAGCATTTTTGCTTGGCCACCCAGAAGTCTGGACTTCAATCCTTTTGATTTTTGTATTTAGTGTCGAATAAAAGATATAGTTTACAAAGAATCTATTGGCTCGCGTGAAGAGTTGTGGCAAAGAATACAAATCGCTGCCAACGAAGTCAAACGCAATCCCAATATGTTGTTTCAAACTCGAAGATCTCTCAGAAAACGTTGTGTAAAGTGTATATGTCAACAGTGGATTCTTCGAACAATTACTTTAAATCATTATTACGTACTTATTTTATTTGTTTTATTGTTTATTGTTGCAATAACATGAAGAAACAGTTTGTTTCGCTTTTAATTTCTCGTATTATCAAAACATAGTGTTTTTTCTCGAAAACGGATTGAGGTACCGAAATGAAACAATGGTCTTCTATTCATTGCAATAGTTGTGGTCTTGTATCTGTTGGAGTAGAATAAACTTTACTTTTCAGATAACTCCAAACATAGAAGTCCAGGGGGTTTAGATATGGCAATCAGCCTGGTCAAGACACTGGATCGTCTTCACCATTAAGGTTGACATTGGCATTTGATCTTATACCTATCCATCGCCCCATATAATTTTCATTAAGCCATTCTTACATTATTCTCCCAGAATGACCAGGAGCACCATCCATTGTATCCAGCTATTTTGTGGTATATTTAATGGAACATTCTCTAATAATTCAAATAGATGCTTTTCTAGAAAGTTTAGAAATGACTGGGAATTTAGACGGGGTGGCTAGAAGAAAGGTCCACAAATTTTATTGCGAATTTTTCCGAGCCACACGTTCACAGAAAATTCGTGTTGAAAAGATCTTGTCCAAATTTCATGAGGATTTTCTTGTGACTAAATATGCAGATTGTGAAAATTCACTACCTCTCGCCTTTGGTAAATGTAAAAAAGCAGTGGCGTAGGTTTTTTTATATAAAAAAAGAGATGACCCACCTACCACTGGTTGTACCATTAGAGCTCATATTTTAGGGAATGCAAGCCCTACTATCATAGATTATTATCTATACAAATTTTATTGAGATCGATTCATAGATTTCTGAGATATAAACAAAAAATCAATTTTTTTAACAACTTTAACATTCTGTATCTCTAAAACAGGGCCGTTTCAGACCTATGTTTATAAGTTAAACAAATATTATTTTAAAGAGATCTACCTGCTCTCGGAGTTTCCTGCATAAAATCGGACCACCCTGTATACAGGCCATATTTGTATTAGTTTCCTCAGTTTGCACAATATTTTGGTTTATTTACTGACGTTGTTCAAGGAGTAAAGTCAATATTATCATAGAAGTGCTTGTATATACGGGGCATTCCATGCCAAATTGCCGTCGTGATCCGACGATTTTTAATTTTCCTGATTTTTTTATATTATTTAGTACCCATTTATAGCAGCTTTCACGAATGTTTTCAAATATTTTTATTTCAATGTCTCAAGAAGTTAAAAGCATTTGAATATTTTGGGTAAAAAATTTTCATATACTTGGCAAAAACTAAAGATATCATACACTTTTTTTTCATTTTTTCGTTTTAAGATGCAGTTTTATAAAAAAATATATAAAAATTATACATTTTTAGTTTTTAGGGGTGTTTTTTAATTTTTAAATAAAAAAAGTGCTTTTTGAAAGTCAAAAAAATTGTCATTCAATATGCAAATTTATGAGACAGGTTCCAGAGTGGGATCTTTTTTTATAAAAAGGGTGTATAATATCTTCATATGAAACCTAGGTTCGAAAACTATTAGAAAAAGGATGAAACCATGGATAGTGTGCTGTAAATGCATTTTTGAAGGAGCACCTCCATTTCAAAACGCTTCCTAGCTAGCACAAACTTTACTTCTGATCATTATGTTTGAAGACATAATGAAATTCAAATTTAATATAACGTATAGCATAGCATATTGAAAAATAATGCATCATTTGTATTTGATGGAGCTGTGCCTCAAAGTATACATACATTTTAAACAAATAAATTCGTATATTTGATAATTCAATTTATTTTTTATTTTATGTCCACACCTACTTGGAATTTTTAAGGAACGTGTTATCAGTAGGTATATTAAAATCTAGATAACCAGAGAACGCACTTTCTCAGTAAATTTTATTTTTACATAAATACATAGTTTTTCATAATTTCATTTGCTTAATTACATCATTTACAGTGAGAAAGGGCGGTTATATTTTAGAATTACATTCAGTTAGCCCAAAAAATTTATATTCCCCTAACGAATTTTACTTTAAAAAATTAAATAATGAGTGTGTACCACCCAGGACAAAAAAAAGCTCTACAAATATTATATCGATAAACTCTACAACGTTTTAAAAAATAGTAGTAGCATCTCTCCAATCGAAAAAAAGTGTTTATTAACGCTGGGTTGAATTTTTTGCAATCTAATTGAAAATTACGTAACGAAACGTTTCTCAGAATTTTATGTAAAATCCACTAGGAGAATAATCGAATTTACCAAATCATTTATTCCAGCTATTAGGTATAGATCAGCAATAGGCAAAACAATAGATACAAAATGTCTACCACAAAAACTTTGGCGCGTTATTTCAGTGTTTGGGAATAAGTAAACTGATATTTTTACGATAACACAGCCACAAAAAAAGTCCAAATCCAAGAGAGCCACACATCATTTCCGCAGGAATTCAATGCGCTGAACACAATCCTGTAAAATGTATCATTTTTGTAGTATCGACTTCAGCTCGTCGAATTCCTTCGGAAATAATATATGGCTCTCTTGGGTTTGGACTTTTTTTTGTGTGGCTGTGTAATCAACGTAATATGCGAGCTATGTTTAAAATAATAGCAAAGATTGAACTGGAACGTACCTAAATAAAATAAGTGAGTTACATTTATTCAAAGCATCTTTTGATGGACTTTACCAACTAAATATTTTATCGCAAAAAGAAGAGATATTATATTGTACATTTCATGTTATTATAAAAGTAAAATTTTCAATTTTGTGCAACCAAACACATTTCCAGTTCAATCCTGACCTTATCCCATAGAAATAAATATATGCTATGGTTTTCCATGGGTTCTGTAAATAACCTACATCTAGTTTTACTCCGCTAGACTGTTACACGGTTAAAAGCGTTTAATAATTGTCGTGATCTATGTAAGAAATATTCATCCTTTGAAGTAAAACCTCTGCCGCCTTTTTAATTTTCTCATCGGGAGCTCCAATTAGTAAAACTGCTCCTGATTTTAGTATAGTGGCCAAAGGGGACAATTTTTCGGATGGTAAACTACTTAGAAGTTCCAGGCAAGCCTCCATTGTTTCGATTCTTGTTGTTTTGTACGCCTCTGAATCCTAAAAACAATTACATAAGCTATAACTATACAGGGTGTCCGTTAGTAGGTCCATTTAGGCAAATTCATCTATATCCAAAATCGTTTCCTTTAACCGCTAGATGGCCTCAAACATTCTGAAAAATATTTTAGTTTTGTAATAATATCTAATACGCATTAAGGGACTTTTATTATTTTTGGGGTGTGGGCATTTACTGATTTTTAAACTTACAACTGCTAGAAAATTGCTGCATTATGGAAATATTTGTCTATGACTTTTTCCGTTCATCAGTAGTGACAAACATTTTTCAGTTGGTCGCTGATACTATTTTGTAGTTTTTTATCTCTTGTATAATTTTTATACCTATATTATGTTGTAACCTATACTGCAATACTTAATAAATTGCTGACTTTGTATTTGTATAACCGTCAAACCTTTGCAAAATCGAGAAATTGAATTGAACATGCCAAAATTGAACTGTTCCAAAATGTATGAGGTGCTACTTACATTAATTGTATGAATACAATGAAAGTAGAAGTGAAATTGTAAAACCTGGAAAATATTGTAATGTTTACAAACTATTAAAGATGTTCAAAAAAGAAAATAGTCGCCATTTTCTTGCATACAAAAATTTACTCTAACAAATTGACTGATGTACTGTCAAAATTTCATGACATTGAGACGAATTCAAGTGGAGTTATTAGCTTTGATTTGGTTCCGACAGAGAACGGTTCTAGGACGGTTCAAATTAGTTGACCATTCCATTCATAAGAACATATAAACCAAGACGTACTGACAATACACTTTGGTAACTATGTTGAACTGTTCTAGGACTGTCCGCTGACAGAACCAAAACAAGCCTATTGTGTCAAAGGGTACAAAAAATGAGCATCGAACAAAGAATTAATACTAAATTTTGTTTTAAACTTGGTCAAACTTTTTGTATTGATGAACCAAGTTTCTGGTGATGACTGTTTATCGCGTTCGTGCTTCATGAATGGTATACAGTGGCGGCTCGCCAGGTGATGCAAGTGACGCACTGCTTTACCTAAAATTTCCCTTTGGTTGTGCAATTTAAAATTATTTTTATTTTACATAAATTTTATAATTTAGGAAATCCTTCTCGCGAACGTCAGTTTTTCGCAAATGCAACTAGAAATTTCCAGATTCCTTTAAAGCCGTTTGACCTTGAAAGTTTGAAAATTTTTGCCTGTGGCGCTGTTTTTTCTTTTTAGTCAATCAATGAATGTGCTTTTTCCATTCTCAATGTCACGAGCCGCCACTGGTGGTATATGCGGTTTAAAAAGGATATAAATGATGTACAACATGTTGGCTAACCGAAATCCGTGATCACTGCAGATTCCATCAGAATTGTGTGGGAGTTCAACAAAGATCAGCCGAAACCTTCATTGAAAATCATGGAATTCGAATTGATCATCTCAAAAACATCAATTTATCACATTTTGGCCGAACATTTGGGCTACCGAAATGTATATGCACGGTTTAAAACATTGTGACGGGTGATGAAACGTGGTGTTTTCAATATGATCCAGAAACCAAACGCCCAAAAAATATCATTTAGAGAAAACAGAAGTGTAGACAATGTTGATTTACTTTTACAATTCCAACGGCATTATCCACAAAGAATTCGTTCCACAGGGCCAAACCGTGAATGCTACTATCTTGGCGTATTGAAGCGTTTGGTGCATTGTATTCGACCGATTTTTTTTTACTAAAAATGACATTTTAACTGTCAACCACTTCCCATATTCACCTGATTTGACACCGTGCGACTTTTACCTTTTCGGAAAAATGTATTTGCCATGAAAGGAAAGCATTTTGTGGACGTAGAAGCCATCCAAAAGGCTTGTACATGCTAAAGGACATCCCAGCCGAATTTAGACCCCACAGTGTATTGAGACATAAGGGGACTATTTTGAATAAAATAACTACCAAAAAAACTTATTATTCTTTTTTTTAAAGTCCTGTTTACTTTGGAACGCACCTGGTAGTTACTCTGAAATTGAGTATTTTAATGTACAAATTTTGATCAATGACTTTCCCCTCGTACCAGACCTTGTAAAGGTAACCTCATCAGTACATTTTTTTTTGCTGAAATTCATATTGCGGATTTGTTTATTTTGTACAAACTGGCACAAAGTTACAAATATTTCTGGATTTGGGTAAGAATATAAAAGTTGTTCCTTTAAAATTTCGTGAGTAGTACTTTTAGGAACTGCTAGTTATATTTTCTAGGCTTTCTAGGCATCACTCATTTTTGGGTTTTTCTCAGTCCTTCCCAAAATTCTTCCATGTTCCATCCCTGCAGTTATTGTTGCACAGTGACGTCCTAGATTTTAATTTATTCGTTGAAAACTACCGCTTTCGCGAAAGCGTTGCGTGATTAGAATATCTTTCTGAGTAGTCTGACACTTTCATGATCATAGCCTTGAGAAAATCCGTAAACTAAAAGCATATCTACTTGTTCGTTCTATGGCGTTGAAAAAAGAAGCAAAATATGATAAATAAATTTTGTACTTATCTAAACCACTCATTTACTGAAAATTGTATGAAAGACAAATAAATTTTTCAGATACTTTGAGGCTTTCTATTGACCAAACGTAGTAATTTCGGATATAGTGGATATATATGGTCTTGAGCTGTATATTATTATTATTCTTACCTTAAATATACTCATGGCTCTTTGCTGCTGAATTTCCGTTGGTACAGGCAATGGAGGAGGGATAATACTCGAAGTGAATGGGTTTAATTTTGGACCGTTATGGGCAGGAGATGGTTTTTTCAATTTACTATCATAGTTTATGTCTTCCTTTATCCAAAGATGGCAACTCTTTGATTTAGACAGATCATTCCCTTTATCGCAAGACATTATTATATTGTCGCTTGAAATTGTGGACTTCCTCATTTGCAATAAAGTGTTTTTGTCGTATTTAATAGAATTCAATTCAATCTTATACTTCTGGTAAATTATTTTACTGTTGTATTTGCCAGCCAATTCATTAGTTTCATCATCGGTGGAACTGTTCTCGTTTTTGTCTTTCTTGTGGATTATGTTTTCGTCCAAACTACAACTCTGTTGCAGTTTCGACTTCTTTACTTCTGTGGTTTCTACCAGTTTCTCGTCGTTCTTCAAATTGGGTAAGATATCCCGCTCTAAATAACTCTCTGAATCTGTACTCACGCTTAAATTATCGTTATCTTCGTCTTGTTTAAAGTCTGCCAATTTGAACGCTTTGGGATATGGTTCTGAAGACGGGGCAATATCGTCGTCACTTTCATCAGACACGTCGGGAATTACTAAAGTTAAATTAATGTAAGATTCGCATAATCTATCCCACTTCACTTGTAATTTCTTCAAGAAATCTTCTATGTAATCCAAGTCTGTTAAGCATTTACTTTTTTCTTCACGAGCTAGTATTTCTTTAAGACTTTTCGGGTCTATAGAGTACTTCTCTATGCCGTCTAAGCACAATTCTATCAACACTATTATTTGGACAACTTCTGATGTATTTGCTTGTGTATATAGATTCGCTGCTTTGTTCAAATTCCCCACTTTCTGAGTCAAAAATTTTAACCCAGGTCTAACGTCAAATTCTTTGGAACGCACATTGGAGATTTCTAAACATTTCAGTAATATATTAACATGTTTCGCATTAACCTTAGTTAAGATGCCTCTTAAACTGCAGGAATTGATTTGCAAAATGTTTAATATAGGGGTTATGTGATTCAAATTTTGTAACAACGCACTCGAAATAGTTTGTACCAGCATCTGATGGGCTAAGATGCCCACCACAAGGTTTCTGAATGGAACCCTAATGGTATATAAGTCTGGGTTCAGCATAGAGTTGGTGTCAAAAGGATATAGCAAGAACACGTAGGTTCTGTCATCTATTACAACTCCTTTGGTTACTTCACATTCGCAAGTTTTACCCTGACACTTGTGGCAGTATCTCTGCGATTGCATTAAGAATACCTGCTGAGCCAGCTCATATAGCCTTTCATTTTCCGACACGGAACTGTCTTTCCTAGCTGCTACTTTAACCGTAGCCAGGTCTCCATAGAAGCTATCCGAATTTTCCTTAAAAGCTAGGGTGAGCTGCTGTAAAGGGTGCAAACTAATGGTACAAGCTCGATGCAAAGCTACAACTAGTATTTCCCACTGGTGGACGGTTAAGACTTTCCCTGCACTTAAAATAATGTGTCGTATACAAGAAGTTCCTAGCCTAGCAATATTTTCAGAGGGCTGTGCTATACACTCTATCAGAATTAGTAAGAGTTGCTTTAGGGCTAATGTAGCTGCTGGGTTTTCGTTCTCTTCGGTTGGTTGGTTTTCGTGAAGGTGGTATAAGTAATCCACAACCAGTTCGCTAGCTAAACCGCAGCAGTGTTTGAAATTTTGCCATACTTCTCCAGGTTTCTGAACCTTCACGTTCTGTCTCAACCAATTTTGGACCATTGGTAAAAGAATGTGATTTATACAATAAAACCCAAAGTTGATTCCTGGGTTAACTATCAGGTCTCTGATTAATTTAAATAACGTTTCTACCACGAATGGTTGGTTTTTGGGAGCTGAAAGAATGGAAGCTGATGACAGTCCTTCCAAAAGAATGTAATATATTTTCAAAACCCCGCTCTGCTTGTCCATGTGAGCTAATGTGAGTTTTTCCGATTCACAGTTGTCAAAATCTGTCTGGGTAACTAATATCTCATAACTTATATTGTCAAAGATGGATTGGTTAAAATTAACGATTTCTGCGTTTTGTATAACAGAGTCTACGAGTTGTGGATTTGTGTCGATGTTCATTCTGTGGGTTAAATTAAAAGTAGGACATTTGGGCATGTTGTATATCATCGATAAAATTGCTGCGCAGTTTTGTAGCAACTTCAGAGATTCTATACACATATCGACAGGACCGATTAATAACTTGGAAGGAAATTCTGTTTCTTTGTCCAAAAATGACAGCGACTTTTTATCATTAGGTTGGTTCACGGTTTGAGCCACGTACTCTGACTGATTGTCGTCAAAGTTTGAATTCTTTATGTGCGACAAAAGGCATAATATGTAATCCAGAGCGGCATTAGCAAACACCAAAGTATTATCCGTAGATAAAAAGATTCTGAACACTTCCAAAATTGCAGCAGCGTTGTTCTTGGCGTTCGCTACTCTTAAAGTTCCAAACAGTGGCCGCCACCCTGAGCAGATCTCGATCCTATTGGCCTCGACGAACTCGCATAAGCAGGCAACTATTTGATCCTAAAAATGTAAGTGTGATGTTAAATATTTTATTAGTGTGCAATGTATAAGTACCTGAACGTCCATATCGCATAGTTCTAAGCACAACAAGTTCTCAAATGGTTTAATGAGTGCTTCGTTGAAGTGAAAATGTGGAAGTTCAGCTTGTTCGTTTAGTAGAGCTGTGACGGAGTCATGTATGCAAGTGACTGCCTTTTTGGAAATAGTTCTGTCTTTGTGACACGCCGCCTGCATGAAATGCGGACCGACTATGGACCAAACTTTCATGATGTGGATTAGAGGCCTACCAGATTTTATACATTTCAGCGTGACCTCGCCTATCCTGTGCAAAAGTAGGGTTGCGGGTGGTTTTTGTTGGATCTCCAAGTCTTTCTTCCACCACTTTTTCTGTTGTCTGGGTGATTCTTCATATCTTGTAAATAGCTGAAATTTATTTATCACTTTCTCTTCTTTTATTGTAGAAATACCTATGACTTTTACCTGAGTGTGTGATGCTTTGCACAGCTCATTCAGAAAACTGCACAATCCTGGCAAAGATAGACGTAGTGCAGCCGAGTGAAACAGCTCGTCTGCCTTTTGCGACAAAACGCAACAAACCTTAGCCGCGTAAACTCCCCTTAAGAGTCCTTGACCTTGAGCGTTGTTCGCTCCACTCTTTTCGACTATTTCTGCCACAGTGGCGTCGTTAGAAGAAGACTGGTCGGAGCAGTACGAAGTGTTGTGGAGGAAACTGTAGACATCCACGCTATAAAAGATTGGTAAATTTGGGGAAATTTTCAAAAGAGCGTTGAAAAAGAGAATAAAAACAATTTTGAACACATTTTAAATATTTGGAATTATGGAAGGTAATAGCTTTTAAGTTTCTTAACATTTTTGAAAATATATCGGTCAAATTAAAATAACCCCCTAGATTTGTACACATACCAAGTCTCCTCGTCATTGTTAGTTATATTGAAGCTCATATGCAGCTTCTCTTGAGGGTCGGAATACGTGGTCGAAGTTACTATATTATTTTGGGTGTTCTGAGCCACCATCAGTAACTGAGTGGATCCAGTTTTACTGAAAAGGGAATGTTCCAGACTTGCCACAGCAACACATGCACTGAAAACGTGTGGCCAGCATGCTGAACTGTGGCACCCGAGTTCCAATCCTAAAAAAGTTTTTGACTGCTGCATACCATTAAAATTTAATTAGAATTAATACAGTAGTATCTCTACCCCACATTCTAATCACAAGGAATAACCTGGGAGTCGAGGACCTGTGTGGAAGTGGAGGCGGTAAATTATTATTTACTATTTCAATACCTTTGGAAAGTAGGACATCTAGTGATAGAGCGTGCGATGCTAGTAACTTTGCGCCTTGGTTTTTGCACGATGAAGCAGACAACAAAGATAAAATGCTGCTACTTCTAGCTTGGAGCTTTAAGGTATTGCTTAAACTAGCAGCCTGGAACAAAAAGCATAGTATTCGAAAATATATACCCTGTTTTCTGATATTTAATAAGAACCTAGTCAAATTAAATGGTAACATTTATATCAATATGATTTATTTGATTCCATTTATATCTTTATTAAAGATGTATAGAGTAAAAAGGTAAATATATTCCTTCAAAGGGGCAATAGAGGACTTGAAAATAAACATTATGTAACCTGTGATCTAAACAGTAATATTTTCAAAATAAAATCAAAAACCATTCACTGCGGAAACGTGAATTCTGTGTAACGTATGGATTAGTATCTCACCAATATTGAGTATATGAGAATTCATTATCCGTCTTTTTTAAATCAGCATTCATTTGTAAAGCGTACTATGTATAAGTTGATTGGTGTGTCACTTGCTACCAAAATCAACGGCATACGCGGCTGAAAATCATTTGCCTTCAAAATCTGCACACGTTGTACATGATAAAGGTGCAGGAACCACTCCTGTAACACACACCACATAGTAGTGTTTGAAACACTTATTTCACGTACAATATCGCGAGTACTGCGGCTCTGGTTTTGCACAATTAAATGGGACAATGCAGGGTCGGCCTTAGTTTCGGGTAATAATTCATTCATTTTCTGGAACACATGGCGCTATAATAGGCCAGAAGTTGCTCACTGAAAATTGAATACTTTCGCGTCTTCTATTACCTCTTTGAAGGAACACATTTATTTCAAATACACCCTAAGTATTTTTTGTCATGTTTTTGTAGTTGGTACGGATTTTGAGAAAACGCAAATGTTTTGTTAAATGCAACTTTATTGTAAAAAGAATATGTGTAGATAAAATGCATTGTTTCAGAGACAATTAGATTTCTTATTTGCTACTTCAATTCTCAGATAAGTACAGATAAATACATATTTGAATATATATACTTTAGTCATTATCTTTTTTGCTAAATTTTCAAATTAAAGTTTTTGTATGATTTGGATATTTGGATATTGAAATGTCTGCGTTCAATGAGACATAGCGTTATGAATGTAATTCCACCAAACAACATCTAAAAGCTTATATCTCAATTAGCGTTGACTTTCGAGTTGAGATAAATCGATTTAAATATCGAAAAAGTTAAATATATACACATATTTAATACTAATTAAATTAAATACCTGCAAATTAAAATGCATATACAGGGTGTAAGAATTATGACTGCCATAACTTCAACATGAGATAGAGTAATCATAAATGAACAAAAAAGTTGTATATTACAGGGGCGTAAGATTAACAGTTTCCAAAATACAGCGAGTATTAAAATTGGCTGATGCACATCACGTGTGTACGCGGCAGACTTATCCTATGGAAAAAATGTAAACAACTATTATTGTGAAACATTTAGTAAATTTCAATTGTTATCGAGTTTTAAATAAATAAAATAAAATGTATATTTTGTAGTACGAAGATAGTGTCGTACTTAAATTTTAGCTCGAATTATGAATCCCTTAAAACAGGAACTTAACTTTTAATCAAATTATGAATTTGAGAAATATGTAATTAAAGTATCCAAAGATTCACGTCATCCAAACAATCATACGTATTAAAAATAATTTAGGGACTTACCAAAAAGCAAAATTCAGTAATTTTTAAACACACAAGTACAAAACAAACTATGCTCAAAATGCCTACCACCATTTTCGATGCACGCACGACACCTTCGAATCAAATTTTCGCGCACTCGCTGGAAAACACCTCAAGAAAAGGAAATAGTGGTACGCAAAAAACACTCCGACACGGTCCAACTCCAGATACCAACACCAACTGAATTGCGTATTGCTGGACAGCTTAGTACCTCGTGTTAACCGCCGCGCCGTTGTCACACTGCTCGATATGAATTTGATCGAATTTTAAAATACAACGCTAATTATTTTTTAGAATTAAGCATAAAGAGGTTAAAAAAAGTGATAAACATTGTATTTTATGATATTCTTTGCACGCAGTTATGTGAATATTCCTTAATTAATCGAATGTTTGTACATCAAGTTGGAGATTTTGATAATTTTTTCTCGGAAATGGTTGAGTTTAGGACCCACGTCATATAAAGTTTGGTTGTTTATTTGAATGTATTCTATCGTCTGTTAAAATTAAGGTAGTCAAACTTCTAACACCCTGTATTTACTGAAATACTAAAATAAATGTTTAAAATAAAACTAACTTTTGGTCAAGAATAATTTCATTTCTAAAACACCTTGTATATAAATTCCATATTATGAAGTAAAATAAACCCACTCTGCTTAACTTACTTTGTGTAATCCTTCCAAACTAGCCGTAATGATGTCATCACGTATCTTTTGTCTGTACCTTTGTCGCGCTCTCCTAGCGACCAATCTGCTGAGAGCAGAAGTGCCGCCTAGATGAGGCCTTTCCCCAAGAGGAGCCCCCAAAACGGACACGACAGAGTCCCAACAACAAGTTAGAACCCTCCTGGACAATTTAATCCCTGCATCTGCCTCAGCGCTGCTTTCTGGGGTGCCGTGAACTTTTTGAAGTTTCTGCCAGTCGGTCAGAAGTTGGGATGGACATAAACCGCCAACATCTTTTTTAAAAAGGGCATGGTTATATTACAGATAAATACATTTCTTTGCTCCTTACCTATTAGTAAATTAACCAAAGCGGGCTGATGTGAATTTTTCGGTTCGTATCCAGCTGCAAGCAGTAAGGATTTGGCCAAGACGTTCTGGTACAATTCACAAAGCCACGTAGCAGACACGTAGACTAGAACGCCGCTACCATGAATTTCCTCGACGAATTGAGCCTCTGTTATGGGCACAGAAACCTGTAATATATGGATTAAAAAGAACAGTTTTAAATCTGTTTATACTTACGTCTTTATTTTGATCATCATAATGGCCTGCTTGAACTAGTTTTAAATCTAATAACAATGCTGAGTAAGTGGCAAGATATACTCCATCAGCATTCATGATTGTAGCTATTTCGTAACTTTGTGCAGAGTTGTGTTGACAGCATTTAGAGGCAAATTCTTGTAACACCTCATCCACCTAAAAGGTTAAATAATTGAAAAACATACAAAAGTACATTCTTCCTCATTTGTGGATGTCTGAATATTACCTGTATAGATGACCTTAACGACATTAAATTTGGCAATAGTATATGCTGCAATGTCTTGACAAAATGTCTAGCATTATGCCTTTCTACATCTGTATTACATTCTTCTATTCCTGTTCTTCCCTGAGAATAAAAAAAGTGAATCATAACGTATGAAAGTTATTACAAGTTATTTTACCAAGTTGAGCGATTTTGGCAACTTATATAACTTTTGCAGCTGCTGGTTGGTCAAAAAACTATCATCGTCCATGATGCTGTCATCTGATAAGTTACCTTCTTCCTCAGGTCCTTCAGTAGCTCCAGAACAGTCAGTCTCCGAGCCTCCTTCTACATCAGGAATATTTCCCTCAATGCCACTACTATCCGAATCGCTCTGGTATTTCAGATTTGCCACCACGTCCCTGAAAAAAAACGATATAAACATCTGGTTTACAAATGATTGTTTCCTCTACCTATATGGCTTTGGTAACCTTGCCAAGGATTGATAAGTCAAAGGTCCGGTATAGTCGGCTTGTTCCACAGTCAGATATCTGGTATTGGTTAAGTCAGCAGCTTCTTGGTTCAGTCCCTCTCCTCTACATAGGGCTTCTAAAGAACCCAAAAGGGCCCCTACACATTCTACACTAGCCAATAGTACACTAGGATCAGCACATTGGGATGATTCTTCAATTGAGTCCATAATCCTAAAAAAGTAACATTGTTAGATGTCTAATGTAGTTGAGTTAAGTCATCATACAGTCTTATTATTGCCATGTCATCACCAGCGTGTCTATGAATTGGTCCACTCAGTAAAAGTAAATCAGCAAGTCTTCCAGGAGACCTCAGGAGTTCCCTGGCTGCTCTTAATGGTTCTAATCTTTTTGGAGGGCTTGGTAAGAGTAGCATTCTATGGAATAGAGCTTCTAACACTGGTCTCAGAGCTCGTTCTCTCCCCACTAGTCTAACTACTTGGATGCCGATGCTGTAATTTACATAACGATAAAATGTCAATATCAATTTTTCAGAAATTTAAGATCTTTGGATAGCTCCAAAACAGAAAGTAGAACAGAAGCTGGAGTAGCAAAGTTTAAGTTCTTATGGCAAAGAATTCATGGCCCAGCAGCCTTCTACTACACTATTCTTAGCAGCAGAAAGAGCTACACATCTTACTACTACACAGCTTACCTACATATCAGTCAGGCTGCAACAAAGACCTTAAACGCAGTGTGTCCAAAAATATCTAAGACTACTTAAATCATGAAGCATGAACTAAAACATCTATGAGAAAAAATGTAAATAGATAAAGAGAAAAACAGGGAAAGAAATTAAACCAAATAAAGCAGCAATAAAGATTTTCATAAGCAACTTATTTGACATTTGAACATTACTTGACAACTTGAAACTTAAAGAACTGAATGTATTTACTTACCTATATACAATTTTGGATTGACTTGTTGTTAAAGCTTGCCCAGACGTATCCCCGGGTGCTCCTAGCAGAGAAAGAAGAGCGGGACAGAAGCGTTGCCAAAGAAACGTGGTAAAGTGTATGTTGGAATGAACAGTATGTGGCAAAGTGTTCACAAGGGTCAAAAGACATTCCAGTAGGAACACTACTATGTCATTTGATTTTGGTAACCTAAAAGATTAATGTATTAAGTTTTGCATTGAATTGTGAAGATACGTACGATTTAGTTTCTTCCAATTTACTGCAAATATACTGCATCACGGGTATGGCTTCATTGAAACATGCCACTGTAGAAGTTTTTGTGTACACCATTTCAGCACTGCTTCCTGAATTTTTGTGCTTCTGTTGCTGCTGTAGAATTTCCTGGCATTCTTCATCTGTAAGGAAATTTGACTCAAGTTAGTAATACAAGTACCTAACTTTAAACTTATGCTTATAGTTAGTATGTTCGAACAGAAAAGTTTACATCATGATTGACATAATTTACCTAAAAATGTGCAGAAAGCTGTCAAAGTTTGAGAGGCAGCCGCTTGAGCCGCGGCTCTGACAGGTTGTGTTCCAGTTTCGTAGGCTTCTCCACATCTGCTGAGCAAGAGCATCACCAACCTCCCATTCAAGGCCCAACTCGCTGAACAAGCTAGGTTCAGGACCACCCGCAGTATATGGACTTGCGTATCTTCGCACTGGGACAGCATGGAAGAAGTTGCCAAGAGCAGTTGGGCTGGTAACCAAAGGGAATCGTCTTCTGGTTCTGTTCCTGATTGAAATCTTTCATCTCTTACTATTTTCTGAAAAAAATCTGTCTTGTGAACGAATGTAGCTTTCAAAATTATCTGGTACTGTCTTTGTTTCTCCAACTGGGCTTGTCCCGCTCTACTGTTATTCATGAAATCAACATCATGTAGATTTGTTGCAGTTAATTTGTTAAATGAAATTTAATTTAAAAATAAAGCAGATCTTAATAATTTTTATACTATTTTACAAATAATAGGGTACCTATTCAAATAAGGCAGAGCCACTAGAGTAATCAAATACAAAATATAGGTACAGTATTCATAAAAAATTTATTAATATTGAATATTTTGTATATTATGCATAAATAAATAAACTTTTAATTTAGGAAGAATTTCACTTTTCACATTCTTTTTAATTACTAAATATGTTTGTTCTATATAGAATTAATCATAATATTTCTTTTGGGGTTTGTGTTCTTTACAAGCTTCAAACTTTTCTAAATGAAGATGAAAATACATAAAACTTAATTTAATATTTTTCTTAATCATGATTGTTAGATATAATAAATGTAAAAGTTTATTCATTTCATTCGGTTTTACTGTCAGTATCATCGCCTGAATCAATAATGAACCTCTCTGTGCCTACTCTTATTGGAATGAAATCTGGAGATCGTGTTTTACCATTGAACAATCATATTTTGGCTTCTTTTAATCCAGTGGTTTGATTATGTTAGTGCTGCTGCATATTTCTACCATTCTGAGGTGGAGCACTATCTGGTTAAATCCACATATTATTGTGCACGACAACATAAATAAGTTATCTCCAAGTCGCTGAATCAGAGGAGGCCAAAATCCTCCTGTTCAATGGCCACCACAGTCCCCAGATTTTTTTTTGGTAGTGTGAAGAATATTGTTTTTGTTTGGCAATTAATAAATACTCTGTATTGAACAAACAAGTTTGACAGAACGAATGACACTGACACTGACACTGTGACATGTCACTTTTACTTGTATGAACTTTGGTATATTTTTTATTATAAGTATAAGACTTTTACACAATTTGTTGAGAATTACTTTATTCATTCAGCTTCAGAATACGGTCCAAAATGCTTTCATGTATGCTTTTACCCTTCTTTTTATTGGCTTTAAATGTTCTTATTGAAAATGTTTTGAACTCACGAATTACAAGTTAAGATTTCTAACTAAAAATGAAGATTTTCTAAGAGCGATAAAACAGTCACAAAGAAAATTGTGGACCTGAAAATTCAGTAGGAAAGTTTGGCAGGATAAAAGATCGTAGACCCAATTTTTCAAATGTTTTCTGAAGTGTTCAAGTCTACTTAGACATAACAATTCCAATGGAATAAATAGGTAACATCCATATCAAATTTGAAGTTAATTTCGAAAATCATAATATAATAAAACACTATTTTGAAAATTATATTTTAAAGAAGACATTTTTGTATAATAGTAAGCCCGGATTTTTCTGGGAGACTATAATAGAATTTATTTCACATAGAGATTAAGATTATTTATTTTCCCCCTTAAAAAAAGGTTTCATAACGAATATTTCGTCACTTTAGGCACAACTATTGCGTGTCTCTAAGTATTTATAGGATATGTTTACACCAATTTTAAAGTAACCCAAATTTGTTGGACAATTTATTATCACGTCCTGAAATAATAGTCTTCCTTTTCTCTTACACTATAACATCTGTTCAAAAAATAACCGAACTTTTTTAATTACGCGCAAATTGAGATATTTAGTGATATGCGGTTGGCAGCATTGCGTTGCGCATGGCCTCCTCTGTAGCACATGTTCTTGGATTGTTGATACGTCATTTAGTTTTCGTGATATTGTTATTTGAGTGCAAAGTGTTTAAGAGTTAGTGACGAATTTTGAAGTGTGCGATTTTCTAGAACGATGCACTGTAAAATTTTGTGTGATACTGGGGAAAACTTTCGCAGAAACATTTCAACTTCCGAAATAAGTGTACGCAAATAACGCTCTGGGTTGATCGCGATGTTACGTATGGTTTTCACAATTTCACGTTTTTCACGACCAGGAAAACCTTGGACTGTCAACTCCCATGTTCAAAGTCAAAGATCTGGTGCATGCAAATCGCCAATTAACTCAGAGAAATTGCAGAAGAGTTTAGCATCTCAGTTGAGTCATGCCATGAAATTTTGACTGAAAAATTAAACATGCATCGAGCAGCAACATTTTTTCCTCGTTTTGACCTTCTAATGATTTTGAAATGACCTTCAGATGTTCATAACGGTAAAAGTAATATTGAATTTAAACTCAGCAACCCTAAAAATATACGTATAGATTTTTTCAGATTTTTTATACCGATTTTCTCGATTAGACCTTTAAATGACCTTGATATGACCTTCAGATGTCCTTCAGGGGTGAAACTGAAAGCGTATTTTAACTCAGCTACTCCAAAAACATACGTATAAATTTTCTCAGATTTTTTAGACCATATTTCTCGATTTGACCTCCAAATGACCTTTATGCGACCTTTAGAAGTCTTTGAATGGTGAAAATAGTAGCGGCTTTGAACTCGGCTACCCCAAAAACATACGTATGAATTTTTTCAGATTTTTTAGACCATTTTTGGACATTTGACCTTCAAATGACCTTGAACCTGACGTGATGGAGCTTAGCCAACCTCGTATTCGGAATCAGCGATCCAAAAAACCTATAAGTACCCTGGTCAGGTCCGGTGATTATTCTTGGATCAAATGTTGACCTGTGATAATTAATAAAGTTTAAAAAAGTTCAGTTCGGTTATTTTCTGATTAGACCTCATATTTGCCTCTAACGATATCGATTCACGGATAACAAAGTATGCCAGAAGCCTACTTTAATTAACAATGGTTTGTTGCCGGGATGACTCAGTGCAATCATTATTTGCCGTTTGCCAAATACACAGGCTGACATTGTTATTGCGTGTAGTTTTCCCATTTCGTTGATGTGAGTAGAAAAAGATATCCATCATTTGTTATCAGTTCAAAAAGTACCAACTTAAATGGGAAATTATAAATAATTGTCAGGTGCAAGTTTCTAGAAATCGAATGAGCTTTGTGCAAGGTTATAAAAATCCGCATTGCGTTTTGCGCAATTCCAATACTGCTTATCAGTTTGCGGGTTATTTGTACAACGTTTCGTCTGGTCGCGTCTTCCTTCAGGCTGTGTTCTAAATACAAATTTCATATAAATCTAACATTTAAATCTAAATTAAATGAGAATAGTCAATAATTGGCCAATTTTTCATCCTCGGCATTTCATAGGTCTTCAAAATTTTTTAACTGAAATGGAAAATTTATAAATTTAAATCTTTAAATCTGTACAAGAAAATTAATCTGCACTGTAGGTCGATAAAATTTGAGATATGTGTTTTAAGTTAAAGTAATTAAAGCTACGAAGCTTAACATTTAAGAAAGGTAGACTTCTAAAGCAATTTTCCCAAAAAAACACCTATTGAAAACATCAACTAAAAAAATGGCAGCAAACCATGGATTATCAACAGAATCATCGCAACTGGTACATACATATAAAAGTGTTAATTTGTATTTGTTATTGTTACTGAATTTGTATATAGGAGCTTTACTTCAACTTTGGAAAGAAATTAAGACTATAATGAGGTTTCATCATTTTTACAATATTTTCACTTTTTTTACTCTTAAAATGTTTTATTACTTTAATATTTAGTTATGTAGGTCAATATACAGGGTGATTCAGAACTTATTAAGAAAAAAAAAATTGGACATAGAGGGGACGCTTACTTATACAATTTTGTAAAGAAAAAATCAAAAAGGGCAATTTGAAAATGATTTAAAAATACACTTCTGCACGACACTGGAAAGTGGTCCACTGTAAGACCTGACTTCGCACAAAGCAGCCGGCATGGCGGCAAAGTGTGATAAAAACGGACAAAAACAACTTTCGCAAGGAAAGAAATAAATAGAATTTTATAGCACCTATTATATCAGCAAATTCAACTGCGTTTGCCGCTATTGTTATTATTAATTAATACAATTAATTTGTGGTTTTAATTAATTAAAAAAATAATTTGACATACGACGTGTGTAAACACATTTGGGTCCGTCTTATTCCGTTTCTACGAACTAACACAAATGTTGTCTTGCTTCACAATAAATTAAAACGATATCCATCAACTCCGAGTTGCTATACACGCAAGCCATTTTTGACAATAACTACTAAAAAACTATTGTAAACGCCGCAGATAACGGGTAAATACTATCGCAACGACGATTGTAAATTCGGATTTCAGTATTCGGAGTCGCTGAGGCCACGTGGCTCTCCACGCGTATTGCGAATGACACTAGAGACTACAGGAGTCCAGCTATGTAATGGTTAAATGTACTACAACATCAATAATTTTTTTTCAGAAACTATAAGGATTTTACAACTTTTTTTTACGATGTTGACTTCATTTCTCATACTGCATCTATTACCAAAATTTTTTTGGAGAAGTTGTGAATCACCCTGTATATATTTAGTAACAGAAAGACTGTTTGTCCATATAGATTTCTTGTTTTCTCATATTTTTATTGTTATTTTATTTAAGCTTATTGTTATATGTTAATGTTTAATTTCGCAACAAGTGTTATTCCCTTTTTGGATATCTACTTCGTTTATTTACTTATTTCAAGTTTAAAGAAATTAATTTCTTCCACTTGAAGAATTTACTATAGGTACCCATAATTTGTTTTAGTGGAAATAAATAAATATCATAATAAAAANAAAGCGAAATCTACATATAACACAATATTTTCCCATTGTCTATTCACAAAAACAATAAAATCTGCCAAAAAAACCTAATAATCCACGGTAAACACAACGTTAAGCTTACTAAGGACGCAAATAATTAATGGCTGCCGACAGTCGTAAACAATAATAAACATCCAGCATAGAGCAGGTACTGCGCGCGCACCTTACCACATGTCTTTAGCCAATAGGAGGCTGAGTTCTCAAAATATTTACAGTAGAACAAAACAAACCAAGACAATGCACTGTCTATCCTTTCTGAGGTCGTTGGTTTGTCCATATAGATTTCTTGTTTTCTCATGTTTTTATTGTTATTTTATTTAAGCTTATTGTTAGTAGTTATATGTTAATATTTAATTTCGCAACAAGTGTTATTCACTTTTTGGATATCTACTTCGTTTATTTACTTGTATTTCAAGTTTAAAGAAATTAATTTCTTCCACTTTGATCGAAGAATTTACTGTAGGTACCCATAATTTGTTTTAGTGGAAATAAATAAACATCATAATAAAAAATAATAATAAATGAATTACGAATCTGATTGAGTCGATTTCCTTCTAAAAATATAGGCTCACTGAAGTTAAATTTTCAACACCATTTTTATTGTTTCTCTTTACTGTTAAAGCCAAGTTGATGTGCTATCTAGTCAATATTGGTTTCAGTCATGCTTGCCAAATGCTATTTGAATATTTTATTGTTCCCTCCTTTGTAGTCCTAAACTACAAATGTATCTCGTAGAATCGAAACTGCACCAATATATCCTCTAATGGATGTCTGTTTTGTAACTAAGTAATCATATATTTGTTCTGCACTTTACAGTTAGTTTATAAACTGAAAGAAATGGACTTATGAAACTGTTTCTCTAGAATAATATGTATAGCGCATATTAAAACTTTTATAACAAATATAGGTACAACTTTTATTTAAAAAAAACCACTCATCTTCATATTCATTATTCAATTACTTTAACTGGAATGCGGTTAGTACACCTTATGCGTCTATGAAATAAAGGTTATAATGAATTACTTATATTTTTATGTATTATAGGCTTTATGTTCCATTGTATAGTAGCGAAGATTTGTTATATAAAGATCATTATCCGAATCCGTATATAACAGCTGTATTAACAAAATAATGGTTATAATCGTAAAATTGTCGATAGTCCGCTGTGCGTAGACTATTACGCTTCTTCTTGTTGGATGAGTATAGGTACATATTTCGTCATGAACTTCATATAAGTATTTTAATTGTATAGGTTAGAACTTTCATTACGAATTATTACGAAATTATAGTTCTGTCTGTCAATTTATAAACGAAATAGTTGATAAATTAGAAATACGTATCTATAAATTTCTATAAATTTCAAAAGGTTGCCAAACTGAAACAATTATTGTTTGTAAAAAACACGATTGTCAACATGGAATATCTATATAGATATTTAATGTATAATTTAATAATTTTTAGCAAAAATATTTGATTTGATGGTTTTGTCTTGTAGGTAACAATTCTTACTGGCTTATAAAGTAGCGAAAGTGTAACATACTGTATATTGCTGGATTCGTAATTCAAAATATTATCCGGCGCTACTAAAATATACAAGGTTATTAAAAAATAATTCATGAACAAACAATTTATCTGATTGCGTGTTGTGATTCCATAGGACCTTTTGCCATAGCTCTACATTTTGTCTCATTTAAATTTCTTAACAGCAAAAGAGTACCTACATTGATATACAAATCAGAAAATTATGGCTCTCTCTGTACAATTTAAAACAGCGGAAGCTATCATGCAAATATTTCAGCTAAATTTACTCAATGATGGGTCACGTCCAACGAAATGACAAGATACAAATTCCCAACTTCCAGAGCGTATATGAAATTTATTTCCTATATGGCGTCACTTTGATAAGTGTTTTATACTCAAGTTGTGATTGCAGTGGAAAATGGGACAATCCTGTGGGTGTGAATATCTTTATTTGATATGTTTATTAGGTTTATTAGGTAATATGTTCCCCATTTATCATTTTTATTTATCTATATTTATTTGTAATGCGACATTGCTAGCGGTCTGTCAAAACTTACGTTCAACCCCGTTAAGGCCAAGGACACCAGTTTGCTCCTCTTGCTCTCCAGGGCCAACTTCAGCGGTAGAAAACACACGGACCTGAGTTCGTGAGAAGGACTTCTTAAAAGATTCTGTTGTGCCGATAATAGATCTACAAACAAGCGTAAACCATATTTTTTACGATTCTATAAAACAATAAGCATCCCTTACCGTGCGCTTCTTGTGCCCTCTGTTTCAAGTTGTTCAGTTTCGATCCCGTGGCTTCTTTCACTATATTTAACAGGAGGTCCTCCATTTTTATTGGAAATGTGTGTGTTTATGCCTAGACCATACTGGAGACTGACGTTTTTGCCGAATGCGCATTTTCCCCATTCGGAAAATCAATAAAACACATCCAAACGAAGCAACAAGTTGCAGTCGGAGCGTGTTTGGATATGAAAGCGGTAACATAATGGAGTGAGAACGGCCAGGCGTGCATGGTGTGTGACTGATATGATAAATTTACCACAGCCGGTTAGTTTTATCAAGCGTACTTGATTGGCTCTTTATGACTAGGTCTCTGAAGCGTGAGCAAACATTAAAGCTGACAGCGGTCACTTAACATTGTAAATTTAGTAATTTTTTTGGTAAATTCTGAAGTTACAAACCAAACACAAAAAAGATAACAGCTTCATTCAGTTTGATTCATATTCGGTTTTTAATAGATTCTGACTTATTCATAAATATACCAGGTTGCAATTTTTTTATAAATAAGCATTAATTTACGTGCTTATTACATTATTACACAATTCATCTCCGAAATCCTAGACAAACAGTCTCAGGCGGATGTCGTATGTCGAAGGCATTTGACAGACTTGATCATGGCATGCTGTTAAGGAAATTATTATCGTGTGGTTTGTCGTTAAACTTAATCAACCTGTTCACTTCTTATCTGATGGATAGAAAACAGTATGTCATGTTCTATGGTTTTAAATCTACTGAATACGTAGCTTCATCTGGAGTGCCTCAGGGAAGCAACTTGGGTCCTTTAGTATTTAATATTTTTATAAATGATATTGTTAGTGTATTAGATGTGCAATGCCTTCTTTATGCAGATGACCTGAAAATTTATTGTGAGATCCAATCTGAGGCTGACTGTGTTCGGTTATATGATAGCTTAAAACGTGTTGTAGAATGGTGCAGTTTAAATCATCTTGAGATCAATGTCGCAAAATGTAATGTAATGTCCTATTCCCTCAAAAAAGACCTAATCAGTTATGATTACAGGGTAAACGATATCGTCATTCAGAGCCCAGAAACTGTATCTGATTTAGGTGTAATATTTGACAAGCGTCTATCCTTCAATGCGCATATAGATAACATAGTTGCCAAGTCTAAACGTATGTATGGTTTTATAGCTCGATATAGTAGGGACTTTGCTAATCCTGTAACATTAAAAATCCTATATTACGCGTATGTAAGGACAAAGTTAGAGTATGCCTCTGTGGTATGGAATCCATATTATCAGACACAATCCGTCAAGCTGGAAGTTGTTCAAAGACGTTTCCTGCAACTGTTGTCTTTCAAATCTAATGGCATATACCCTGAGATTGGTATACCTCATGACTTTTTGCTTCAGAGACACTGTTTTAAAGGTTTAAGTGTTCGTAGGCAGTGCTATTCAACTATTTTCTTGTTTAGATTCTAACATTTTGCAAAAGTTAGGGTTAAACATTCCTAGGTTATTGTTACGCTATGTTGGTACATTCCATCTTCCTGTCCCTCGAACTGATGTTTTAAGCAAGTCTCCGTTATTTCAGTGTTGTACTAACTACAATTTAATAAGCAGCCAGCTTGATATATTTAACACAACCATTGCCGGTATTAAAAAAGTGTTTTTAGGTTAGTTCTTGTTTGTGTGTTATTTTATTTGCTGCGATTTAGGATATTTTCATTGTTACCTCATCCTGTATTAGTATATCAATTAGTATAAACTATTGGATGTTGTAATTTTTAAAATAAAATAAAATAAAATAGCGTGTATAGTACTCCAGTAAAAACAAAGGAAAATTGGATGTATAGAGTAAGGCAAGCATTTGAGCTTCTATCGCCGGATTCTATTAGAGCAGCGACTCACAAAAAATCGATCAGAAGGTGTGAAAAATGTTTAGGAGTTGAAAGAAGACATTTTGAACATTAATTAAAACATTTATTAAATTACGTAAACATTTATTAAAACCCCGCTCAAAACATGGAAATTGAACACCGGTCAATTTTATGAAACTTCGTATTTTGATAGTCCTCGTCATACTGATCAAAAGTCTCAATGAGCACGAAGCCCTACAATCCCTTCCAATCCCACAAAATCTCCCCCAAAGATCAAGGTAATGAACTTGACAGATTACAGGTCAATTGGCTTACCGTAATATTTCACTATTGTAGTCGAACCTACAGACACCTATACCATAACTAGACTTAAGACCATCTATGGGCACCGAGCCCTACAACCCCCACCAACCACCAAAACCCACCCCCAAAGGTCAGGGGGATGCACTTGACAGATTATCAATAAAACTACCGAAATATCTTACTACTGCAGTCGAACCTACAGCCAGGATGTCACATCCCACAAACAGCAAAACATCTTATGGCAGGTTTTGGTACTTTTTGTAAGTTAAGTTGTAGGTATTAAACAATAAGATGGGTGTAGGATGGAATACAAGATTAAACGGTTTCATAAGCTGTAAACAGGGATAAGTCATGTCAGGCTTCGATAAGAACTGAGCCAATTGACCTGTAATATGTCAAGTTCATTACCCTGATCTTTGGGGGTGGTTTTGGGGGGTTGGAAGGGGTTGTAGGGCTTCGTGCTCATTGAGACTTTTGATCAGCATGACAAGGACTATCAAAATATGAAGTTTCATAAAAATTGACCGGCGTTCAATTTCCATATGTTTTGTGCGGAGCAATTAAAAACCTGTGACAGTTGTCAATGTTGATTGTTACTTACCTGTCATGGCCAACCTAAAATGTGCGAAATAAATGGAAACGCCATTTTAGGAAAAGGAAAATGTTTATTCGTTAATAAAATGGAAAGGACTGGGTTTAGGTATAGGGAAACTTTAACAAAGTTACAGTCAAGCGCAGAATACGAGTACGTTAAAAATAATTGGAGGTTTTCATTTAAAAATTTCGAGGTTTCCTCATTTTCTGAACTTCAGATTCGATCATTTTTTTTATCACCTTGGAAAATTTTCACGTCAAATCAGATAAATTAGATCTTCCTCTACAAAATGTCCAATTCGCACAAAATAATAAACCTTTGTTTCGGGAAAACTAAATTTTTTTGACAGTCTGCATCTGTCAATTTTTGCCTAAAAATCAAAATATCTCAGAAACGGTGAATGCTAAGTATGGAGTGTGCTATATGTTTTCAACTTAAAAATAAATGCTCTTTCCAAAAATGTAATAATATACAGGGGGTTCCATTTAAAAAGAAAAGAATGTTGGTATTAACTTCCGGTATAACCGGAAGTACGATGACCTTGAAAACATTTTAACTTGGTAGGTCCAACAGCCTTATCCCACCACCACAATTTCAGAAAAATCCTCGAGCGGTTTCCCAGATATCCATCGATGAAAATACGGATATCAGTGACAATTTTAAAAAGAAGTCCTCTTGAAAAGTAATCTATTCTGTTCATTTCGGTTTTATAGTTGTCAAAGTGAAGTTACAAACGAGAAAAGAAACAAATTTTTTGAAAATTTACATTAATTATTGCAATGCATTAGGTATGTTCTTTCAATAATGTCTGAATAAGTAATTGTAATTTTTTCGGTAATTATTAATTAATAGTGATAAGACATAACACATTTTTAGCTATTGCGGGTGTAAATCAGTGTTGGTCGGTGTTTTAGTCCGCAGAGAAGTTGTTTCCTACATCATTAAGTTGGTGTCAAACCTCATCAAATCAGAATTTTAGGACTTGAATTACCTTAATACCTTTTAAAATAAAGTAAAAATTGAAAATTAAATGTTCAGCAAACAATTTAAAACTCGATGGAATCATTTATCAAAAAAGTTTCAAGTACACTAAAATCTGTATACAGGGTGTCCCGAAATTCATGCAACAAAATTTGGTCACAGATTATTAAGATAAATTTAAGGGACCCGTATTTTTTATTTTTGCCCAGTGGCCCCCTCTTTCGGAGTTACAGCCCCCTGAAGTTACAGCCCCCTGAAGTCCGCCCCTAAGAATAATATTTTTTTATATCTCAGAACCCTGTTGTACGAGAATCATTAAATTTGGTACACAGAGGTTTTATGACATGTGGAATCTGATAGTGCTACGTTTTTTGGCGGGGAACCCCCTTATGACAATTTTTCATGGGCCCCGTTGTATTTAGAGCTAAACAAATTTGGTCGCATATTTAAATTTCTTAAAAATTATCAGTCCACTAGAAAGCCATTAAATTTAGAAACTTTTTGTTTCTTTATACTTTTTTCGTAAAACGCGATATTTTGGAGAAAAATGTCAAAATGTGATCGAATGCATATTATGTGATTCGCCATTTTCCTCAAAAACATTGAATTTTACGAAACAAATATCAAGAGACAAAACAGTTTCTAAATGGCTTTCTAGTTAATTAATAATTTAAAAAAAAATCAAATTTGCGACCAAATTTTTCTGTTTCCAAAGACAGGGGGCCCACGAAAAAGTATCTTAAGGGGGTTTCTCGCCAAAAAACAAAACATGGTTTTGAGATATAAAAAATACTTCTTATGGGCAGATTTCAGGGGGCTGTAACTATAAATTTTGTAAAAAAACGTACAAAATATTCACTGGATAATTTTCATCGGGACTTTTTTAAGTTTCCATAAAATTGTTTTGGTTCTTTTAAGATCGGATCGTTTTCACCTAGAGGGAAATAAAACGCTTATACTTCGTGATAACATTTTTATTTTCAGAAATAAAGAATTAACAATACTAAAGTAGGGATTTATTTTTCATAAGTCTTATGTGCATTGTTCAAAACTGATATTTATGAAACATGCCGTATCTACCCTAGTTAGGTATATAAAATTATTATTTTTTCTTTACAATATTTCTTTTTAATGATAACCGCGTATATTTAAAGCAACCAACCTGCTGAGGGCCAAATGAGTCATTTCACGTGTCTCTTTTCTCAAAGAATTCTTACTGATATGTCACATAATTCATTTAGAATCACTCGTAGGTACTTCAGTTTGATGCAATTTCTAGATATAATAAGGAACGGACTCATTTGTCAACATCGACTCAATCATAGAGTGCTATCTTTTGTAAAATTCATGAAATTTCGCTAATTTACGTCTTATAATTAGATATAACAGAAGTTTTCAGCGCTCTCGGCATTGCCCATATTTTCTCATCCTTTTTACATTTACTGTGAACACTGCAATCGTCTTAGTTTAAGATAAATTCTATAAATAATTAGTAGGCTTAGTGCACGTGTAGAGTCTAACAGAGCCGGCCGGCGCGCGGCGTGGGGATCGGTGGCCTTCACAGCTGACACGCGTTTTGAACTGTTCAGTTATTTACGGAACCTTGTAGTAGTTGGTGTCTGCTGTAAATTGTATTCGCGGTGTGTATTTAAATAACTATTTATAAATAGTAATATAACTTACATTAACAACTATAACTTGGGGGGGGGGGGTAGAGTGAAATAAAATGCCAAAAGAGAAAAGAAATAGACGGGAATTATTTCAAATGTGGTTTGACAGTTATCCCGAAAGTTACAGGGACATACGTATTAAAGGAAATTACCTGTTTTGTACTGTGTGTGAACACATTATAAATTCTTGTTACAAAACTAAAGTGACAAGATATTCGAAGAGCCATGCCTCGTCCAGCGCTAAAGACTGTATTTTTCTATGAACTTGTAGACGCCTTTCTTTCAAGCAATATTCCATTAGACAAACTAGAGAACCCCTAGTTCCGTAATTCCGTAAATCGGAATCACATGGACTATCCCTAAATAAACAATTTGATATAATGGATGATGTACAAAAAAAATATATACGATGCCAATAATATACGCCCAGTCAGTAGTACGATAAAAGAAAAAATACAAAGAAAGTTGGAAAAAAATTCAGGATACACCATTTTGGAAAACATATGTAAAGTTTTATATATCATCAGTTACCAGCAAATATATTAATATATAGTTCATGCCTCAACAATTTATCATACTGTCCGTTGTCAATAGTCAACACAAGTTTAACTGCTTCCAATAAGTGGTGTCATTTAAATTTATATAGGTATATTATCCTCCACTTAGCCTTGCTTTTTGATAATAGTACTATGTTGGGACATATTTTCAGTAAACATATTAATATTTTCATTCGTAATCTGACTACGGTCCTATTAAACTCCGTGCCGCACTAAGCCTAATAATTACAGTTATATTTTAGTTGCAAAATATTAAAATATTTATGTACTAGACATTTTTAGTCACTCAGATTATATCAATAATGGTACACGTATGGTAGAAGAATTTATTATTGTTGAAGGAAAAATAAAATTTCCTAGATTTTTCATAAAATCTTCAGAAATTGATAGATTTTGTTATCATGCTGTAGTTATATTTTACTTCGCAGATTTGACATTTTTTACAGATTTTATTTTCTTGTAAAAGCCTATTAGCTTCTTATTTTCTTTGAAAAAAATACTTATATCTAAAAATATACTATATCCTCTCTTAATAATACAGCTAAAAGTAATATTTACTCGTAAAAAGTATAGGTAATATGGCCACACAAGAAAAGGATCATTTGGTACTTTTAAGTGACAAAAATATATATGTATTCTTACGGTGCAGATAAATATCTAACAATAGATCAAAAAATATATTAAAATATACATATGTTCATTACTAATATTCCATACAACATTCTACGATTCTACGATAGAAAGAAAATGCGTAACGAATTTCCGAAATAGGCCCAAAAATAGTTTTAATTTCTGCAACATCAAAACAAAATTTTATTTAGACTTTCCTACTTAACTTTTATGGTAGAATCTATTGGTAGCATTTGATTAATTAGTGAGTGAACACTTTGTATAAAAAAAAGAAAAAAAATTACATTTGAAAATAATATCGCGTATGTATTATTTATATTATTTTCCAAGAACTTATGCACTGGTACTATGTTTTATATTACATTATAAATTATAAATAAACATTAAAAAATATCCTTCATCCCCATACAAATTACGCTAAAATTCCATGTTACTACAAAGTGCAATAAAAAGACCTTATTTTATATAGGGCGTTTTTGAAAGGCGTTTTAATTTTGAATGTTTAGATTTGAAGTTATGAGATATTTGACAATGATTCTGAAATTAATGTTTCGAACTACCGCACGAAAATAGACCAGTGTTTCCCAACATTTTTGTCAAAAAAGCACATAAAAACAATAACAACGAACTTTGAACAAGATTTTCATTAAAGGAGATTGTCCTCAAAAGTCTGTACGACGTTATCGTAATAAGATACATACCAGACCCCGAAAATGTGTTTATCTCGTTCAGAGAAGTCATGAGCACGAAGAAGGAAGACTAAAAAATGCCGGATGAGCTGAGCCAAATCGTTTGTTGCAAATTCAGCAAACAATTCTCAATATTGCCGAAAAACAAGACCATCACCAGAAATTTTTCTCGTAAAATTAATCCTACAGCAAAATTTGCACGAAAACTAACTGTGTCTATATCAAATTTATCGTGTACAAGCATTGCAACTCGCATCAGACATAACTCACCAGTAAGGAGCATTTATCCTGTGCCGAATCTTGGATATAACAAGTACGATTCTGTGTCAGTAATACAGGGATAATATTCAACATTTATTGTAATTGGTAAGTTTAAAATTCACTTTCTCATTCAACGCCTGTCCAGAAGGTTACACACCAGTATTAAAATTTAAAATATTCATTATTTCATTAACATCTCACGTTTTTTGCAATATAAAAGTAAAGACAAAAACGGATGCGTTTTCCATTACTACGCACCTAGAACAATCTTTCCAGGACTGGATACAAGAAAAAACAAATTTTTTAAAATTCTTAATTGTAAGCTTTGTAAGGAGACGGTTTGTCAGTAAATATAAAACCGGTAATCTAACACCAGCCAAAAGCATTTTGTTAACATTGTCATATTGTATGTTTCATAAAAGTTAGCTAGAGCAAACCCGACACTATTCAGAGTAGTCGAAGTAATTTCAAGAATTATTCAAGAACTCGACCGGACAATTCGCTAAGTTTTACATAACCAAATGTCCAATTTAGTCCGGACCTATAAGACAAATGCAAGTTCTAAGAGAAAATTATTAGTTCCTTCGCCATACTGGAATGGGTCTTGAGAAACTACAGTCTTAGTGGACCCAAAAGAAATGATAGGGTTGGACCTCAACAAAAACAGATAATAGCTAATTTACTGCCCAGTTTACCTTACGACAGTTTGAATTAATACCGATATCTCTTGAAACATACAATAATCCTCAATCCCTCATAAAATTTCGCTAGAATCCCGCAGCCAGTAAATACTATAAAAGTCTGCCAACGTGGGAAAAGCAGGAATGCCGCGATCAGTATCAATCAAATGGAAAACTCCAAATTCAGACATCACTCAATCTCAAAGAAGTCCAAAGAATTTAAATCATTTAGTATCATTCCTCTAAGAATTGGTTATTATTAGTTAATTCATATTTTTAGGATAAAATCTGCATTATAAACATATTTCCTGTAAATATTTTATTTTTTGTACAATAAATTACTATGATATACTCCTTTTTTCATCATTACAGTAAATATTCGAAATTTTCTCAAAAACAAGACTTTACATGAGTATTTGCTTCTTACAAATAATTATTCATGCAACAATAAAGAACCCTACTTGAATTATTATATTTATAGCAAGTGATCCACAAACAAGTAACGTGATGTGAAACTCGTCCATTTCCCATAAAATTTATGGTCTTTGACAGACCGCCTTCTTCCCCTATACCATTCATAAATTACCTAGGTACTTTATTTCATTTTAATATAAATAGGCCGTTCTTAAAACTATAACTCCGTTTTCAAAAACACCCTATATAAGTTAACTAAATGACATACAACCTGCTGTACAACCTTCTAAACTACTAACTATAATTCCACACTTAAACAACCACTCCATTTATCGGTATAAAATTATGTTACAACCCAACATTAAATGCAAAAATAATTCTCATCTCTTAAGATACTTTACAGAATAGCAGCGAACCGTAAACAATTTGAAAATCAATTGTTGTTTTTTTCTCTCCTTTTTTACATCTCGTCTAAAGTAGGTATATCTACATGGAAACGTATTCTGTGTTAGGACATTTTACTACAGTTTTTTGTTGCTGCTTCACGCTGCTCTACCGCAACCATTGGCTTTTGTCTTAGTTTGTACAGTTGTTGCAAAAGCCTAGTTGGTCGTGGCCAACGCAGTACACGCGAGGACTGTGCGAGCTGTCCCATATCCCGGGGCCACACCTCGTGCACAGACCAGAAAGGGTGCAGGGTATTTCCCTCATTTGCCTGAACTGGTGCAGAAGGCCTCTAGCTTTTCGTGCTATTAGTTGGCCGTCCATATACATCGCTAAAAATAATATTAGAATCTGTTAAAGCAACTAGACAATGGCTAAGTGTAAATGGTGACCAACATGATGGTTGGTCGCCTTTACAGAAAAAAAAACAGGAAGAGCAAATAGGAAACCGCAGGCTGGGATCTTTATGAAATGGTGATATAAATACAGTCCGTACGATATTTGTTGAGAAAGAAAAAATAAGCCAATAAAGTTCTGTTATCGGAACTACTGTAACAATTAACTGCGACAGGGGCGTGCCTTGAAATTTTCCACCTCTGGTGTCGAATGCGGTTAATTCCAAGTAAGTGACGCAGGGGTCTTCTTGGAATTATGTCTCAACAAATAGCGTACGGACTATATTTGACTTAAAATTTTGTCTTAGTGACGTCATCGAAATTATTCACAATTTCCTAAATTTTATTGTACATTATATAAACCGAACTGATGGGCTAGGGGCAAAATCCACAGCGTTTTTTGTGAATATTTCTTTTCAAGTTTTATAATAAAATTTAAAAATTTAAAAAAGAGAAAATCGTAGAAAAAAAATTTACTCGACCTTTTAAAAATAAGCAAATTACCCCTTAACTCCCGTTAATTCGGCGCCCTACTTTGCATCATATTTCCCGACTGGGAACTCGCCGGCGCACCACAGAACGTTCGAACGTTGAAGCGAAACAGCTGATTTCCCCAGTCATCTTGAATTTTGCAATTGGTTTCAAAATCAAAGTGCAATGGATACCTATTCTATTAATAAAGTGCTATGGACGGTGATGAATAAGTGTTTCTTATAGGTGTACTGTCATTTTAAATCGGTAGGTACCATACTACTCTTTGAAAAGCAATAAATCACATAATAAGGTATACGTATTACAAACTGAATAATTAATTCAATATAATACAAACCCATATTCAATAATTATAAAACATAGTATAAAATACTAAACAATTATTATCCTTATACATTTGTTTTTATTAACAAATAAATAATACGTGTTAGTTGTAAAATGTAAAAAAATATCTTATTTATTCATGTGTCTAGGTAAAAAGCTCTATTTATTCGTTGTCGTTCGCGAATGATTAAAAACGCATTAAAAGGTAGGTTAATGACCGAATATTATGGTAGGTCAAGTTTTATTCTCGCTAGACCTTTGCGGGTCAGGATCGGTTCGAGAAGGGGTTTAAGTAATGATTTGATTTTTTTTTTCAGCTTTAAAAATTTTTTTAAACGGGTATTCGTATTTTACCCATTTTTCTCTATCTTCCCTTAAAACTATGGCTGAATTGTCCTATATAGGAAAAATATTCAAATTGGAATATAAAAAATTTGTATATTGGAGTCTCGTGATATGTTATGAGAGTATTTGAAAAGATGAAACACCCTATATATTTTTAGAGTTTCGAAACAATTACAAAATTTTGATATTTAACATTCTATTAAAATTTTGACAATAAAAGGATCTGTAAAAACCTTCGTACCTTTTATAATAAATTACATTATGTTAAATTAAGTCAAATATAGACATTGTAGAGGTTAAACCTACGAATTTTTGGAACGTGGGATTTTCTTTGGTTTTCAAGAATTTCTCGTAAAAGTCAAATTAACCTAGAATGTAACATAGTTCACTTAAAACTTTCCAATTCAATATCACTGAATGCTTTTTCACTAAAAATACTTATCCGAGAATTTTTATCACATCTTTGTACCACAAGCAATGATTCACATATGAATTCACACGAATTCACATATTGTCTGTAAAATGTTCTCCTTACGATTTCATAAAATTATTCAATTTCAAAATAAAGTACGTCGAGAGAAATTGATGAACGATTGATTGAAGAAATCGATTCAATGTTCTTACCATGTAGAATATTGGTATGCTAGAGACAATAATATATATAGTGATCAATTAAAAAATCGTCGTTTACAATTTTTTTATTAAAATGGAGACATCAAGTACACACACATAACTTTTAAAGTAACCATTCTAGAATCGTGACTAATATGGTACTAATTTTTATTTAAAAAAGCCAAAGAAAACACTAAATACACATCTAAAAAGTTGTAACTTTATCCCTGACAGCTGACAGTATATTAGATGAAAATATAGGGTGTTCAATTTAAAATAAATGAATTTTCGTGTATTAAAAGTGTAGTGGTCGTAACGACGGAATACTACTATATTATTTTTCCGCTATCAAATTTTTGAGAAAATTAATTAATATAAAGTTACGGTTGATTACGGTTACGGCGCAAATGCGGCCTGCGTAATAATAATATGCTGCCTCCTCTCCCGCACAAGCCTCCGATTTCTGGGCTAATTCTCGTAGTTAGAATGAGGAGTAGAGATATTATTATTATTTGAAATTGTTTAATCTAAAAGTAGCCTTGCAATTTTCCGAACTTCAATATACAATTAGTGATAGTGACTGATTACTCTGTATGAACCACCTACCAAGTGAACTGAAATGCAACAGCATCTCATCAGACCGTAAGTTTTGAGCAATAACGTCATCGGCGTACACCGATACAATAGCCAGACAAAGAAACAAGTGAAAGTAGTCGGTCAAGTAGTTTGCCCAACAAGCTTCCCACATTCTTAAAGCCACGCCTTCAGTGAATTCCCTCTTGAAACACCTAGAATAAATACAGTCAGCAATAACCCCACAAAGATATCAGATAATCTTTACAGAAGTATCCATCTGTGACAAAACAGAAGCTCCATTGCATCCTTATGTTTTTGGAGGTGTTCGTAGAATTTAGGTACCATTAGTTTGATGAGTTCTCTTAAGTACCTCAAGGATCTGTCCATGTCCCTGTCCGTCGGCGTCGCCACGAACACTGCTCTTTGCATGAGCCCAACGAAGCACCAGAATGCTGCTACTTCGTCCTTTAGTTCACAAAGAACTGGTGCCAGAAGGTCACTCATGCCTTGAGTATACCTAAAAAGGTTCTTAGTAAAGGTTTTCTCTGTCAATTGACTTTAAAATAATCATGAGTTTTGTTTAGGATTTTAACTATTGAATAAGGATGAATTTATATGATGATTAACATGAAACATGAACATTATGAAAATGTCCAAAACTAAACAAGTTATTAAAATGTTTACAACATTTTTCTCTGATCACTATTCAAACGGTTACAAAATCTACCAGAATGCTGCTGCTTCGTCATCCAGTTTGCAAATCACTGATCCAGAAGACCACACTTGCCTTGAGCGAACTACATACACAATTTGAATAATCAAGTTACTGAATAATTTGTATCAATACAAATATTTTTCTCTATTTTGTTAAGTGAAGACTTTGAATTTCACTTAGGATTTTTAATTTTCATCAATTATAAGTGAAAAACATTTGGTATTGTGTGACTTGTAACCTAGACTCGCATAAACCATAACCATAGGTAGATTGTAACCATAGACTCTTTCAATAATAATAATTTAATAACTTGTAAAATTACACTAAGAAAAATTGGACTCAATTTCACTCACCGATGTATCAATTTCTGGTCACACCATTTGAGTGAAATTTTCCTGAATTAGTATGAGTACTACTAAAATTTTATGAGTGAAACTATCAGTTTTAGTTCAAATACTATGAAAAATGTGTAAAATTATCAAAATGCCAAATATTGACTGAAAATGTACTCAACAAACAGATTTGAAAATGTTAACCACCAATATACTCAAAGACCATTTCTAGTAACTAAATTTTAGTTTAATGAGAAAATATTATAAACGTTTACTTGTAGGTTTATACAAATGTTGTATGTTATACAGGGTGGCTAAATGAAAACGAAACAGAGCCATTTTCACAAAAAGAAATCAAGGGCAATAAATCCGGTGATCGTGGAGGCCACTCAATGCTGCCTCTTTTCCCAGTCCAATTCGGTAGGAAACGTTGATCCAAATACTGACGGACAATTAACGCATAATGCGGAGGAGTACCGTCCTGTTGAAAAATCAAATTATCTTCATCATACTCTGGAAAATTTTCAATGATCTCAGTCAAGGCAAGGTCAATAGCGTCTTCCAGTAATTGCAAATGCATTTGGCCAGTCAAATTACCAGGAAGAAAAAAGGACCCTCCAGCCGGTCACCAAAAATTCCAGCCAATAGCGGCAATTGTGAGGATTTACCGTCCTGTTCAAGAAAAAACTGCATTCATCAGAAAAACAGATGTTAAAAAAGAACTGTGGATCGTTCCCTGCTCGCTCACTCATTATTTCGCAAAATTGCAAACGGCGGTCATAATCATCCTCATGAAGTTCCTGGACTAAATGTATTTTGTATGGATGGAATTTATTCTTCTTCAAAATGGTTTGTATGCTAGTTCGATTGATCCCAGACACAGATGCCAGCTGCCTCGTACTTAATGTAGGATCAAGATGAACTTGTCCCAAAACTGCAACTTCACTAGCTTCATTAACTATAGGTTTTTCAATTTCTCGTTTTTTATTGGCTACGTTCCCTGTCTCTTGAAATTTTTTTACTAACTCTAGAACATACTTCCTCCTGACATGTCGATCTTGATGTTGTTCATTAAATAGCTGAGCTGTTCTATTCGCACATTTATTGTTCATAAAGTAAAGCGAAATGATATCTACCCTTTCCGCAATGGAATAAACCATAGTGTTTAATTTTCAAAAACACAATTAAATAAACTACCAACCAACGCTTCCAAATAATACTAGAAAATAATTTGGAATCCACTAATTTTACGTTCATTGTGTGTGTATAGCATTCATTTCTGTTTTTTACAATTGTGTTTTTTTTACGAAAGTGATAACAAATCGCCAAAAACCAATGTAACGCAAGAAATACTAAATTTATACCATTGGCGTACTTAACTCGAATGACTGACATTTTTACCGTTACTAATTGTTTGTACATAAGTTTCAACTTTAAAATCAAAATTCTTAATAAGTATTGGGCGGAATTATAAAATTTAAAGTCTGTTGTAAAGAGAATTGTAAGAGCTTTCAAAAGAAATATTACTCAACCCCCAATGCCATTTAAATATTTTGGGGTGATGCTTACCCTTGCTTGGGGGTGAAAGTGGCGGAGTCAAAAATACCAGCAAAGAATGTCCCCCTTTAATCTAAAATCGACGGGTCTGAGCGTTTTTCTACAATCTTGACGCAGTTCCTGCAAATGGCTCTGTTTCGTTTTCATTTGGCCACCCTGTATATACGATTTAATAGAAAATGAAGTAAATACAGAACAAAATAATTCGAAACTGGTATATGAATGGTGGATCTAATGACGAATGATCTTAGTTGTAGACATTGTGCGGTTTCCATAAGTAAAAACCATTTACTGACTTTTACGCATAGGTGCCATCTCATTAAAAAGGTCATATTTTTCCATTAATTAACTCAAATTCTGTCCAAGTACCGTATAAACCTTGATATAAAAAATTACGTAAAATTTGGAGGAACTACTTAGTTTACTTACCCCAACCCTGGATTATAAACTGCATAGTTTAGCAGAATATTCTTCATCAACCCCACATTCCCATTGTTATCGCCAGCAAAAAATGGATTACCCCGATCAGTACGAATCACGTCCTTTTCCACAACGCTTTGTATTTTCCTTCTGAACTGATTCATTTGGTTTTCATTCAGATCTAACCTCCTCCTACTGATCTCTTCATATTCCTACAAATTCTCAGATGATTTTATGTACAACTTCAAACTCACAATAAAGAAATCAAGTTACCTGTCTTCGAATTTCGGCAATCTGAATCCTTTCATCGAACGTGCTGTGGTAGGGGTAAACGTGAAGCAAAAAAGGCCACACTTCTCTCCTAATGTTCCTGTCCATGCCTGAAAAGAATATGTACTTCCTGAGGGTCAGGTCGTCTTCCAGCTGGCCGATGTCATTGAATAAGCTCCTGAACACTTCTTCCGTCAACTTAGGCACTTGCCCTTCTTCTGGGTGCAGTTCTAATACGGAAACCTCTGGCCTGCATACCATGAAGTGCCTGTAGGGAAGGTTCTCTTCACATCCTGCAAAGGGTCAAGAGCTTATTCTACTGATTGTCGTTATTTCAACTTTTTTATTTTTTACCCCAATTTTAATATTTAAAAAAATATTGATTTCCATAGATCTGGACTTATGTATTTTACAAATTCATGAAACGATTCGATTTATAGAAATTATGCAAGAGTAGCTCTTTGCCTACATAATCTAGAGGTCAGTTATTTTGAAAAAAAATAAATAGGGTAAAAATAGAAAAAGTTAAGTAGGAAATATTGCGTCACCCCCTAAAAATACACATTATGTAAAATATTCTATGTGAATACTGTAAATTCGTATCGGCATGTTCCAATGTTTTAAAATATGAATAATCTTTAAGGATTTTTAAGGTATCTCAAAAAATATAATAGCCACCATTCCCTTTAAGGCTGGAGTTTTATAGATAAGAGATCACAGTTTTGGTATGACAAATGATAGGACAAAAAAATCCATCTAAACTGTAAAAACGTTGAAATACAAGGATTTCTTTAATTTTTCACATCGGAAAATGTACCTTTCCTGTTTTGTCGTGAATTTTGGAAAAAGTACTTAATAATCGCGATTAGTTCGTGTGTTAATCGTTCTCTAAAAGCATTCTGCAGGGTGTGATTATGTTTATAGCACCGTACGCAATTTTCTATGTATTCAACAGGCGTGCAAAGTTCAGAAAATGTAATAATAAACATGAGATCTAAAAATATGCTTGTAAATTGTCTTACACCCTTGAGAAAACTTGTATAACTGGTACAGTGAAGAGATATTGTTTCTAACTTACTTAGATTTTGAAAAACCTTCGTCAAATGACTGCTATATGTTCACTGAAAATTACGCATAAAAACAGATAAAAGATTTATGTAAATAGGTACCCTTATTTTTCATGTACTGTCCGTCCTAAAAGTATAGGGGACAATTTATGGCCACCCTGTATATTTCAATTAAATTTTTTTCTGTTTATATAAAAAATTCTTTTTGCCCTCGGTTGCTGTTTTCCTTAACTGTAATGTCACGTCACTATATTCCTACAGGGGTTATTTTTATTGTTATTCCCTGAATAATAAATCATCGACAACCCCCTTGACGATGCTTTCAATGTCAAGTTCGTGGAATTCGATCGTAGCTACGAAGTAAATTGTTAAATTTAGGTACTTTGATAAGGAAAAGAAAGACATTGTTAAAATTTGAATCAATAGGTAAGTACAAATATTTTCCGTTAACATTATTAAAAAAGATATAAATTTATTTAATAGTGTTTTACAATAAAAACTTTTTCAGAGATAATTACAAAATTTGTAAATGATGGGAACGTCAAAAAATGTAAAAATAACCATTATATAATAGTACATAATAGCTTTCTACATACAGACATTTTTCAAATGTATTTTAAATAATCGTATTTCAGGTTAGTTAATTTTATGTTGGAAAGCATAAGTTGAATTTATATAAGTTGTCTGTATTTCAGAAAACGTCAACTAATATATTCATAATGGTCAGTTCAACTTTAAAAAATGTGAAATGTTGACTCTGGTGCAAGAAGGCGATGAGAGCCAATAAATTGTTCAGAAGATGCAAAAAACATCAAGTTAATATTTTTGTTACATCATTTGACTAAATAACTGCAACGTTTACATCTGAGTTAGAGTGAAATATTTGTATTGCACCGGCAAAGGTTAAAATGAATTTCATTGTTCTTATTATGGCTTAAAGCAATACAGTTAATAAGTGGCGAATAGTAATAATAAATTAATGATTGTGTGAAGTATATTTGATACTTCTTGAATTACAAATGATGTTTTCTGAAATTATTTTACTTTTCTAAAACATAATAAACAAATCTTGAAATTGAATTGGCAAATTCTGAAATTGAATCAGCATTTTGTAAGATAAAGTAATATAAAATTAAATTTATTTGGAAGATATAGAAATGGCGTTTTCTGAAATTAAAGTAATCGTTTCTAAAATACAGCTGGAAAAATTTGATAGGCACATACTTATGTCAAAAATATTATTTCGTGATAAAAACTGTCTTATGTTTTTGTTCAACAGTAGATTTGCGAATGTTTTAAAATTGAAAGAGAATATAACGATATGAAATTAATTAAACAGAAAAAAGTGTGTTATTTGATTTGTCGCATTGTAGTCGTCACCATGGTAACCTCGCACCCAGCATGCTACCTTTGGATGTTTTGATGTTTCTTACGGAAATAACGTTCCATAACCCCTGGGGAAACATTATAACGCGATTTGGGTAACGTAACGTAGATACTACGAGAGTAAAGTCTATTTAATCCCTTGTGTAACGTGACTGCTACTCCGGCCTATATTTCACCGGGAGAAATGCACTCTACTCTCTTATTAAATAAAATGTACATCGACCTACATCGGAAAAACGCTTCTCTGGCACTAAAGTTTTAGTTCATACTCAAACTGACATACGTAATATCGTAATCATTTTTCCTATATAAAGCACGTGACCAGTAATTTTGTTTGGATTTTATTTCTTTCGTGTCATTCATATTGCTGACGCTTTAGGGATTTTTGGTTGACAGTACCAGCCCTGCAATGTTGGTTACCTAAGCTCGTGGCCTACGTGGCTTGTAATCATTTATTTAATCCGTATTTGCTTGTAAAATACTAAATTAACTTAATAGGCCAAGAAATATAGAATTAGACGCGACTTTTTGTTTCGGCAAGCTGAATTTATCACTATAGATGCTAAATATTATGTACAATAACATATTAGTTTCCACAGTCATAAAAATGGGGGAAAGATTGTTTACAGTATGGTTAATTGTATAATTTTTAAATAAATTCACGTTTTTCGCTTATATTTTTTTTCCGTTCATTTCCACGACAAACCAGACGATCCCGAGGATCTTCCTCGAATCGCACTGATTTTTTTCATGGTAGATTTCATAATAATACATTGAAATCTATCATTTTTTTTTAATTTCAAATTTGCAACCTGGAAATTTTTTTTATTTTTTAGCCTTGCAAAATGAAATATACGACGCACGAGCGTGATATAGTTATATATTATTACATATTCGGAAAGCTTATGAAAAGAGCTTCCACAAATAAAATATTTTTATCTGGGAAAGTACTCGGGTTGCCGATTATGACAGTATTTTTTTTGCCGCTACCAACGTAATTTGTTTAACAATAGGCCGTCAACTTTGATAGTCTGTAACTCCGTTGTTTTTCAACGAATCTTTATGATTTTTTTTAACTTAAAGCTCTTTTCATAAGCTCTCCGAATATGTAATAATATATAACTATGTCACGCTCGTGCGTTGTATATTTCATTTCGCAACTAAGGCTAAAAAATAAAAAAAATCCAGGTTGCAAATTTGAAATTAAAAAAAAATGATAGATTTCAATGTATTATTATGAAATCTACCATGAAAAAAATCAGTGCGATTGTGGAAGATCCTCGGGATCGTCCAGACTAATAATTAGTTAATTTGTTTATAAGGCCATAACTTGTAAACTATTCAACTTACCGATTCCAGATTTCGTGTGAGTTATTAGACAGTGATAAGGAATGAGAGGATGCGATGTCAAAACGTTCTGGTAATAATAACGCAGTTTATAAATGTTTAATTCAAAAGTCATAAATAAATTTCTTCTGCTTATAACTTTTGATATAATCAATATTTTTGACGCTCGAGTACTAACTTTGTAGGTCTTTTGAAGACGAAAAAAAGTACATTACTGTTTTCTCGTGGAAATGAACGGAAAAAAGTTATAACCGAAAAACGTGAATTTACTTAAAAATTATACAATTAACCAGCCTGTATACAATCTTCCCCTCGTTTTTATGACTGTGAAAACTAATATGTTATTGTACATAAAATTTAGCGTCTATATAAATTCAACTTGCCGAAACAAAAAGTCGCGAAATGGTCATTTCCCAGCTCTTTTTCCTAGCCTACTAGGGCAATATCTCCTCCCTCATTTTTCCTTCTCTTTCATTTCTATACTTCAAGCTTATACGTATGTTTCTTGCATTACAACCAGATAATTTAGATGCAAGTACGAATCTGGACTTTGAGCTTCGAGGGCAATTTAGAAGTTATCCCCAATATAATAGGTACTAAATGTATACTCTTTACAGCAATATATTTTTAAAATAAGTTTTTGCCAATTTGTAACAATGCATTAAATCTTTTTTTATTCCAGTTTTTTATTTTAGTAAGATGTCCCTAAAAAATATGCGACAGGAGTAAGTAAATAATCTTAAAATAGAACATATCAACGATAATTGTGGTAATTCACAATTTGGATAAATTTTGACATTGCAATAATATCAACGTAATAGAAATAGCAATAATTATTGATATAAGCAACTCGTTGTTCCGGAGTCTCATAAAAAATAGTATTATTTATAAAATTGCTATATCTGTATTTCGTTTTACGTTTGGTTTTATTGACATATCCATGTATTGGAATTAATAAAATTGAATTGAATTGATATAAATTTGATAGTTGTCGTCACGTAATATGAATATTGATTTGCTTATTTTGGATATCAAAGGATATGTTATAACTACTGTATTATTTGTAGTGATTCTCTGTTCAAAACTCACCACTGCCAAGGAACAACTAAGGACACATTTTAACATAAATCGACCCGGTCTTCTTTCTTAAATTTAACCCGTCTCAAACTTGTAAAAAAATGTTTAATTCGCATTTTTTTTTTATCCGCAATACCCTTGCATATTCCGTATCTATTTCAGTGCTAAAATTTAGGTGAAGGTAAAATATACGCATGAATTGCATCGCATGGTAATTATTCTGCCCTAAATGATAACCCTTATCTGCATAAGTATTGGAACTAGAACTTGATTAGGTGAGAACTATGCTAANGAAGCACTTGCGGACCGATGTTCATATGCACTTTTTTGCTTAAAATATGACAAGGAATCACCCCTTGAAATTAAAGTCATCACTTAAGATACACCCTGTATATCGTAATCATTTTTCCTATATAAAGCACGTGACCAGTAATTTTGTTTGGATTTTATTTCTTTCGTGTCATTCATATTGCTGACGCTTTAGGGATTTTTGGTTGACAGTACCAGCCCTGCAATGTTGGTTGCCTAAGCTCGTAATCTACGTGCCTTATAATCATTTATTTAATCCGTATTTGCTTGTAAAATACAAAATTAACTTAAATCAGCTGAATGGACATACAGTTCGTGGATCTAGAAACATGGAGGTCAATTTTAAACAGATTGCATACCTCAAATAATGTATACTTATAGCAACTTGAGATAACTTTTGAGATGCAAAGTGATCAGTATCTTTCTCTTTGAAGTCGTTTAAATGCTTTATCAAAAATTTTTCCATGGAGAACAAACTAAAACACTTAACCTTTCATATCTCATTATATCTCTTAAAAGTGTCTTACTCTTAAAATTAAAAAACAACACTCACCTTCGATTGTTGCCATAGGCAGCGTACACGAAAAACTTAAAAGTGGCTCACTTTTAAAATATTTTCAATCAAATGGTAGGTAGCTAGTAGCCTTAGTTTTTATATATAAATTGTTGGGAGTCAGTGGTGGGAATTAAGGCCAAATCTTAAAGAAAACACAGTAATTTTTTCTTTATCGACGTTACGTCACCAAGATGTAACAATAAAGGTGGCGAAACGTTGGCAAAGGAAAAATTACTTTCTTTGAGTTCTGGACTTAACTCCCACCATTGACTACCAACAACCTATATATTTAAGCCTAAACATTTTATTTTAGTTAATATGAAAATCTCGAGAAAATGTTTTTACACTAGTAAATGATTACCTGTGCTTCTATCGTAAGTTTCTAATATAATTTTACGTTTAGAGTCTTCAGTTTTATATATTTCTATAAAATAACGCATGTCAAAATTTTGGCCCAACGAGTATGGTGGCAAGTCCGTTCCTGACTTCCTTGACAGTGTAAAACAACTACCGTAGTATGGCTTTATGAGTCTTTGTGGTCTACATAAAATATTAAAATTTCATTAAATTATACCAGTCGGTTCAAAAGTTAGAACCGAAAAGATAAATAGCTGGGTACCCCTTTGGGGCTCTGTATCTCCGTTAAGGGGCACTTTAGGATTTTTTTTTATGACTAGGATTATTTTGACCTCCCCTATACACTCCCGAGAGTATGCCATATACTTACCAGACACCCTGTATATGTACTTCGTTTTACGTTTGGTTTTATTGACATATCCATGTATTGATTAACAATATTGACTGTACCATTTGTAGTGATTGTCTGTTCAAAACTCACCACTGCCAAGGAACAACTATGGTCACATTTTAACATTAAATCGAACCCATCTCCCTTGATTAAATTTTACCCGTCTCAAACTTGTAAAAAAAATGTTAAATTCGCATTTTTTATCAGCAGTACCCTTGCATATTCCGTATCTATTTCAGTTTGCTAAAATTTAGGTGAAGGTAAAATATACGCATGAATTGCATCGCATGGTAATTATTCTGCCCTAAATGATAACCCTTATCTGCATAAGTATTGGAACTAGAACTTGATTAAGCGAGGACTATGTTAAAATGAGCCTTACCTTTCGCGAATTTGATACTATGCAGTAAGGAATGCCACTGGTGCAAGACTTGGGCCAAGTGATCCAGGCCTCCGTGGTGGAAATGTAATATTTTGTACTGGGACTCTCTTGAAGCCACTACTAGTTGTCCACACGTGCAACTGTTATCGTTAAAAAACAACCTGAGGGACCTAAAAATGATCGTAGTGTAGAAATACTACATTTGGGTTTACAGCTGCTGAGCTTCCAAATAGTTATTAACCCAATATGTGCGATTGTCCATGTAAACATAGGAATCTACCTTCCTTGTTTTATCCAGAATTTTGTAAAAATACTCAATAATTGTGATTAATTCATGCGTTAATAGTAAACTTAGGATAACTGGTACAGTGAACAAATATCGTTTCTAACTTGCTTAGATTTTCTAAAACCCTGGACAAAAGACCGAAAATTACGCATAAAAATGCCCCACTTAACTAAAACCAACTAAAAACTAAAGATTTTTTCAACTTTAACGCCCTCTAGCTCCTAAACGAAGCAATTTGAACAGAAATTATATCGTCTAATTTTGACACGAGGAATCTGTGGTATTTCCATGTTCACGGAATATTCCGACACACTGTATAACTTTTAAAGGTGACAAAATTGAAACAAAATATAAGGATTTTTTTATCACGAAATGTTGCTTATGAAAAATGTGAGTCGTTAATTACGAACCACAGCTTCGTAAAATAAGACTAAAGTTTTCCGTAAACTTTTTGTAATACGTTGTACGTAAGAACTTGGTGAAAGAGGGATAAGTCACTAATACGATTTAGGGGTTGCTATTTACCTCATCTGGCTCAAATCTACGCTAAATCTCCTACACTTATGCGAATACTTGGTTGGTAGAACAGGGGAATTAGTGGCACTTTCAGGGAAGGCGAGATTGTGTTTTTGCATCAGGAACTCTGGGGTCGTTATCCAGTTTAGCTGGCTGTCCGTTGACGTCATCGATTCTGACCTGAAAATTGTTGCGATAGAAATAACAAAGCGGCTTACCGAGTTTGTTTCTTTTAAATCCTAATCATGTAAAAGGTTAATGTGGTAAAATGTGCTTTTGTTATTACATCATACAGAGAGAACTCCGCACGCACCTTATGGAAATTGGTCTTTCGGTGAAATTTCCTGAAAAATCGATACGTTGTCCCGTTTTTATCACTGAAAAATTAATTCACTATCAAATATAATTTTTTGATATATAATGTAGCTTGTTTAACAACGATTAGCATATATTTGATAGACATCTATGAAATGCATTACATTAGAGTAACTCGACGTGCGTATGGGGAGGTTGTCAAGTTGGATATTGCACATTATTTTGCCCTGTTTGTGTGTATGTGCACGCGTGGGTGTGTGTATTTTCAATAACACACGAAATTCCATATAATTTTTTTAATACACATGAATTTATCCAATTTTTATTTTTATCTCAAGGTCATCGACTTCCACAAGTATATTCTAATGATCCTCAACTGATTGAAGGTTAAGAAAACTATACAGGGTTATTCACTTTTTATTATTAGGACTTTAACCATCGATAGATCTCGTCAAAATAATGTCATTTTGAAGTATGCATTTTTTCTTCTAGAGATATAAGCTCTTGAAAAAACCTTTTTTTGTTTTTATTTATTTTTTCTTAAACTATGAAAGCCATTTGTTTTATATTTATTATGTACTAATGAAAAGCTCTAACGATTTTACAAATTATTATGAAAATAGATCAATCATAGGCGTCCGTAAGGGGCTCTAATAACCCTTATTTTTAATATAATTCTACTCCACTGGAAATTTTTCAATATTAATATATTTTTTTTCCATTGCTATTTATTCAACAGCAAAAAAAGTCTTTTATTATTTTTAAATGTAATACTTGGTTTTTGAGAAAAATGGCTTCTTATTGTAATAAGTAAATAAATAATATAATAAGTTAAGTTTATTTGGCTTAAACGATAATCTGATTCTTCTCATTAAATCCCATCTTTCTCAACGTGAACTATATGTTTCATACAACGGATTCAAATCTGAAAATTTTATAGCGACATCTGGAGTACCTCAAGGGTCAAAATTAGAGCCACTTCTCTTTTCTTTATTTATTTATTACGGCTACTTGAAGTTATTTCTCAGTGTATGAAGATTGTTTCATACTGCAAGAGTAGGTAGATCTTGTAAGTAGATGGTGTGAGAATAATAATCAATTACCTATTAACATAGAAAAGTGTAAGGTCTGCTCATTTACATCCATAAAAGAACCGTTAATATTTAGCTACACCCTTGAAAATGCGTTACTAGCACGTTGCGATAATGTTAAAGATTTAGGTGTAATATATGACAATAGACTATCCTTCACTGATCATATCAATGTAATTATAAATGCGGCTAATAGAACTTTGAGTTTCATAGTCAGAAATTCAAGTTCTTTTAATAATGTTACTGTATTGAAATGTCTGTTTTAATCACTAGTTCTTTCTAAATTAGAATATTGCAGCCTTACTACTCTTACTACCAGATACATACTAACAAGCTTGAAAAAGTTCAACATCGTTTTCTTAAATTTTTAAGCTTTCGAATTGATGGTTATTATCCAAATAGAGGATATGAACATAGGCTGATGTTAGATCGATTCAAAATGCAGTCTTTGCAGAATAGAAGAATACTCAATAGTTTATCTTTCCTATTTAAACATTTTCATACCAGTGTTGACTCAGCATATCTACTGTGTTCTTTCAATATACGAGTTCCTAGACATGGATCTCGTGCTGATTGCATGTTCTATTGTGGGAATGCTAAAACCAACATACTTCTTAAATCTCCCATCTATGTCATAGCAAATAATTATAATTTAATATATATGCAGTGCGATATAAACCACTGTACCATAATTTGTTATCTACAGCAACTGAATTTTTTAATTTAATAAATTTTAACTGATATTGTAGAAACTGGACGTAGTTTATATATCCATTTGTATTTATTTAGAACTATGATTTTTTATATTTTTAATGTTATACTTGAATGTCTATACTTTTTTGTCCTGTAATTGGAACATTTGTTCTGTTGGGTAATAAATGCATTATCATGTGAAATGGTTTTTTAAACAAAGAAGAAGATTTAGATACTATAGTCAACGACTTACCATTACTTCTAAGGAGAAATATGTGGATTCAGAAGATATCCTTTATTTGTGAGGTATTTCACAAATTTTTAGCAAATATATGCTAAGCATGGTAAACAAGCTACATTATATGTAAAAAAAATATAATTGAGAGTGAATCAATTTTTCACTGTTTTTTTACCCTTCTGTGGGTCCTACCGCCTCCAGATGGGCATTTGGAGTATCGTGGAGGAAATTCCACCGAAAGACCAATTTCCAAAAGGTGTGTGCAGGGTTCTTTTAATATGCAGGCTGGGCCGTAATTGTATGTCTCAAAGCATATTACGGTAACTACTGGTACTTGATCATCATTAGATCATCTTTAAACAATTATATCTTCGTAAGGAGTTGAACCTTATTCCTACTTAATTCTGACTTTTTATTTCAATTTGACTAAGAAATACCCTGTAGAAGTATGGCAGTCGAATTAAAAATATCCTGTATCAACAAAAAGAATGTATGATTCTTTAAAAATGAAAATAAAGTATTGTTTTATTTTGTCCAAGTAAATTGCAATAATTTTACTGTTCCTAATTAATGAATTGTATCACGAGTAAATCTATTTCCAGTACTGGATTAATTATAGCCTTTATCACTGGTATAATCTCATTTGCAGTATGACATATGACGTGCTGATAATAATAGCATGCCAGTCGAGAAATTTTATTTATGCATAAATTAGTGGCGCCTCTAGTGAAATTCATTGAACATTGGGCTGTAATTAAAATGAAAATCCCCATTATGCAAACTACTTTATTTTCCAATTTGAAGGATTAATTATCCTGTCCCAAGCCCACGCACTAACCTTGAAAACTCGAAATGCTCCCTGGGATCCTTGACGCTATCAGGCGTCTGTATGATTTCTATCTCAGGATTCGATATATCCACGTTGATGCTGATGCCCTGTTTGTCGCTATCCTCCGACCCCGAGGACTCCGAAGTGTCCAATCTATCCTTGTCGTCGTTATTCAAGAACGGGTTCGTGTTCTTCAGCTCGATCGTCAGAGGGCGTTCGACGAACTCGTTCGAGTCGTTCGAAGTCAGGCTCTCCAAGCTGGAACGGTTGGGACACTTCTTCAGCCCGTTCTGCAAGAAGACGGAGTTTTTCGCCAGTTCCACGTTGGGGATCCAGGTGAGGAACAAGGTGGGTCGCCTGGAGTCATTGTACTGGTCGATGAAGACCTTGGTGGTGATTGTCAGGTAGCCGGGATGGTGAAGGATGTCGGTCTCCTGTCTGACCACGGCCGGTGGGTGAACGCAGACGTTGTTCTTGCAGAACAGCACCTCGTTGTTTTCGTAGCGAATGTCTTTCCCCGCATCCATTTCGGGGCCCAGGATGTAAGTGGAAGCCCGGCGGATTATGTCAGTCAGGGGCATGTCTCTACTGAAACAACAGAGAAAACACATGGAAGCAAGTACAAAATAGTTATTACTAATATACAGGGTGTCTTGTAAATATACTCTCATACCCTCGAGAATGTATAGGGGAGGTTATAATAACCCTAGTTTGTCATAGAATTTTTTTCCTAAAGTGCCCCTTAAGGGAGATACAGAGCCCCAAAGGGGCTTAATGAAATTTTAATATTTTATGTAGTTTATAAAGGCTCATAAAGCCATACTACGGTAGTTGTTTTACACTGTCAAGGAAGTCAGGAACGGACTTGCCACCACACTCGTTGGGCCAAAATTTTGACAGTCATTTTATAGATCTGAAAACTGAATTTTTAAATACTTTGGACATTCCTCTTTAAAAAAGGTACTCTATCTACATTTGTTTCGATCAAATTAGCCGTTTTCGAAAAAAATTAGTTTTTGTAGAACACGTCATTGAAATAATAAATCAGAATTCTGCAATAAAACACTACGTTTTTGTCGTTATTGACAACACTTGTAAAAATTGTCTGATTGATTGAGTACACAAGACGAAATAATGGAGCATTGTTTCTATAGCGAATATGCTGACATGCATCTAATTTATGGACAAGCACTCGGCAATTGTGATGAGGCAAGAAGAATTTGTTCTGATACATTTCCAAATCGACGTTTATCGGACTGAAGAACTTTTGAAAGTATTGATCGTAGCTTACGAGAAAGAGGTAAAAAGTCAAAGCAATCCCTCTAATTCTGAGAAAGCTGTCGGTCCAAGTTCATGCGACAAAATGGGTCGTATCACGTCCAAAAGGTACATTAGAAATGTATCAGAATAAATTCTTCTTGCCTCCACACAATTGCCGAGTGCTTCTTGTCTATATGTTAGATGCATGTAAGCATTAATGAGATGTAATAATGCCAAATTTTATTATTTTAATACGAATTATTAGTTGTGATGTTATCCAATTATTATTGTGTTTAAATAGCTTATGCTGATATACTTTATAGTTAAATAAATTAATGTTTGAACGTGTTACTTATACAAAAACTGAATTTTTCGAAGGCGGTTGATTTTATCGAAACAAATGTAGAGTATCTATTTTAAAGAGGAATTACCAAAGTATTTAAAAATTCAGTTTTCAGATCTATAAAATGATACCTGTCAAAATTTTGGCCTAACGAGTGTGGTGGCAAGTCCGTTCCTGACTTCCCTGACAGTGTAAAACATCTTCTGCAGTATGGTTTTATGAGCTTTTATAGCGTACATAAAATATTAAAATTTCATTAAATTATACAAGTCGGTTCAAAAGTTAGAACCGAAAAGGTAAATCGCTGGGTATCGCTTTGGGGCTCTGTATCTCTGTTAAGGGGCACTTTAGGAAAAATAAATTTTCTAACAAACGAGGGTCATTTTGACCTCCCTTATACACTCCCGATAGTATGCCAGACACCCTGTAGACCGCGAAATGTACTTTTCCGTTCAAGATTGAAAGTTTTTTGCCGAGCTTAGCGAGCAAAATATCCATTCGAGAACGCAAAAGTCTCTCGCGTTCGAGATGCAAACAATATTTTTTCGAAAACTGTAATAAAATAAGACAGTTGTGTTACACCTATACAACAATTTAATTTATGTTTGAAATCGTTTGAACCGTGTTTGAATGTAGACAGTTGCTGACTATCATAACGATAGCAACCTAATAAACAATAAAAATTAGTTGTTTGAAAAAGTAGTGGCAGAATTATATATTGTAATTCATATTCCAAGAGTGTTTAATTCAAAATGAAGCCGGAAAGTGAAGACGAGCATTTACCAGGGGAAGTATTTAAAATGAAGGAAAGTGCTGTTTCACAATTAATCCCCAAAAAATCGTCAAGACAGTACGAGATTGACTACAACGAATTCAAAGGGTGGTGTAGTTCGAAAAAATTCAAAACGTGTCCGAATCGGCGTTACTGGCTTATTTCAAACATACAATTAATAAAATTAAACCTTCGATGTTATGGTCAGTATATTCCATGTTAAAAAGTAAACTGAATGCCAAATTATGTAAATATCAGAAAATTTCCAATACCATATTTGAAAAGCAAATCAATTGGATACATTCCGAAAAAGTCCCGAATTGTAACGAAAGAGAAAATTGAGAGATTTTTACAAGAAGCACCTGGTAATAGATTTCTGCCAGAAATTAATATACCAGTATATCGATCGATTTAACTAATTTTATACAACTTTTCAGCTCATTTTAATAATTGTTTGTGGTGCTTTGAGATGAGATGAGCTACTAAAGATAACGATCGATTAAATAGAAGACAAAGATTCAATTATTATTATAAGAATTCCCGATTCCAAAACTTCTAGGTACTCCGAGTTTTGTGATTTCAAGTCCGAATGAACATATTCGATAAATACTGTGCTTTACGTCCGGCAGATACTACAAGTCGAAGATTCTTTGTGAAGTATATCAGGGAAAAAATGTGTTAAGCAGGTGGTTGGCGTCAACAAAATAAGGAATGTGCCGAAAGAAATAACAACTGATCTCAATTTGCCTCATCCGGAAACTTATACAGGGCACTGCTTTAAACGTTCTTCCGCCACTCTGTTAGAGGATGCAGGGGCCGATATTATCACCATTCGTTCTAGTACGGTAGCGGAGACATATAGAAGTTTCTATACAAAATAAAATTTAAATCGCAAATAAATTGTTACCATTTTCAGCAGAGCCTGCGGATCTTGCCAATAATACAACGTAAGCAGTAAACTTAAACAATTACAACAGCAGCCTCATTGAACACCCAGAACTAAAAGCTACGATAACTGACAGTACTGCATTTGGCATAAATTTAACTCACTGCAATATCGGCAATTGCAATTTACATATAATGCAAAAAAATTGTAATCGTCCTGTTTATAATAGTTACTGTTTTGTATTGAAATATTATATTACTTAAAATGTATATTGTTTAATTAATAAAATTATAAATAAGTTTCGAAAAAATTACAAATTATTTTAACATTTGTTTTATGTTCTAGAACGAAAAAGGCTTTGGCGTTCTAGAACTTAAAAGTATTTTATCTACGACTATTTAATAATAGACGCATTATAATTGTGATAGTAAGTACATAATGTAACTCATATTACACACCCGTGGAATATGAGTTTCATATTCCACAGGTGTGGAATATGAATTTTTATACGTATCCCTTATAGCTTCTGACCGCGCTACAAAATAGAATCGAGCTTGCTTGAATTATTGTTACTATGGTAACTAATGTAATTGATTTGACAACACTTCGCAAAATAAAACATTTTTGACTTTTGCAGTAATTTTGCAGTTTAATTCTGACAGTGAAAATGAAATTCGATGCACCCCTCCTGAAATTCGTGAAGCCGCGAAATTAGCATCATTGGAATTACTTCCAGAGAAATCACGAAAAAATTACACAATTGTATATAACAGCTTTATGGACTGGCGACTAAAAATTGGCACAAATTCGTTTTCCGAAGACACTTTGTTGGTATATTTCAAGGAATTGACAAAAAAATGTAAATCGTCTACATTGTGGAGCCATTATTCCATGCTTAAGAGCACACTTAACCTTAAACATAATATGAATCTTACGCAAAAGTTCGAGTTTATTAAAAAGGCAGTCAGAAGGCTACCAACCCAAGAAATCAAAAGCATTTACTGGAGATGAAATATACAAATTTATAACTGAAACACCGGATACTAAGTCGTAGATAAAGTATAGTATTTGCCTCGCGTATAATGGCTATATTACACTCGCCTACGGCTCGTGTAATATAGCCTACATTATACGCTCGTTAAATAATATACTATTACAGATAGGTGACAAAAAAGACTCACTTTGTCAACTGTAAATTTAACGAAAATGTCGACATTTGATGACAGTTTTCAAAAACATATTTTTTTATAATTTTTTATACTTAAAAAATGTCTTCCCAAATAATTGGTAAATATAATTCATTTAATTACAGTTAGTGGAAACTGTCAACAAAAAATTTATAGGGCGATTGTTCTGTTCAAAATTCGCCAAACTTCAGGCTCGATTTTAATCAAACTGACAAAAAATTTGAAAACGTTAACTTCTAACAGTTACAGCGACTTTATTAAAAACAGGAAAATTAGTTATTTTTCAATGTAAGATGTTTCTTGTTAAGCAAAAATAAGTAATGGCACAAATAAATAATATAAAATATTCCAACAGCAGTGTCTATGTGGGGGAAATGAAAAGTGAGGAAAATTCAAGGAATTGTAAACAAGGAATCTAAACTGTTTTATATCCTTGTTACACAAAATATGTACCTACTTATAATGCGGAAGCTGTTTTTCCCAGAATGTATACTTTCAAAGGCATCAATTGTTATACTTTAGACTTTTTTTCCTTTCTTTATATGTTACATAACTTTTAAAGGGAATTCTCCTTGCTCCCTTCTTTAGCACACTCCTTCACAAACTCTTGGAATAGTAGTAATCAAGTACATTGAACCAGGATCGATTTTAAAAAGAAATTCATTAGCTATTTCTCGATTCATTAGACACTGCGAAATAAGGGAATAGAAGCAACAAATAAAACTTAAAAGCTTTGGGAAGTATCATGAATATTCTATATATCGGATTTACATATATGTTAGTATTCCGGTGACTTACACAACATCGATGTTTAAAGTTTAGCTTTTCGTTGGGTGAATCTTAAATGTGTACATGCAGGGTGTCTCATGGTGATGGCCCATTAGAATTATTTCAGAGACTACTTCGATTTGAATTTTGAAAATTTGTGATACCGGGTTTTCGGGCATGCCCTTCTCAACTAAAATAATGGCGTCCACGTACCACTTCCGCTTATACCGGAAGTCGCCACCAACTTGCTTATTTTAAAATGAACACCCTATATATTATTGCAATTTTGGATTCTACCTTTTATTTTAGGTGGACTTTTATAAAGTTTCTCTATTCCTAAAATTAACCGTTTTCGAGATATTTAA